AGATAGATAGATAGATAGATAGATAGATAGATAGATAGATAGATAGAAAGAAAGAAATAAATAAATAGTTAAGCATGGCAGTGAACCCTTAATGTACCTAGCACTAGGCTTTAGCAATTATCAACACATGGCCTCTAGTTTCATGTACGTTCATGGGTGTTTTCCTAATTCTTTTACAGGAAATGTGGTTAAGTATTTTGTCATGTATCTCTAAGCGATAAGAACTTTAAACATATTATAATGCCATTATAACATTAAAATTTAATAACTCCTTAATGCTATTTATATGGTTTGTTTGGAATGATGTTTTTGGACCTATGGCCGAATTGTTGGCCCTTTGTCTTCTTCCTTGGGGACTTCAGTGAGTAGAGAGCCTTGTCTCATTGGATAGACCTGTGTCATTCTCTGTGCCTTTGAGTCTCTGCTTCTTGTCGTTTGCCGTGAGACTCCAGTAGAGAACTCAGAAGCTGGAGTGTGTTCTAATGGAGGTTGGGCAAATCCAGTTACCCTGGGACTGAACCGGCTTGTGAACGGCCTTTGAAAGGCTCCGAGTGGTGACCAGTTGCCTGCGCTGCCTATACTGTGGCTATTTCATGGCAATATTGGAGGGAGAAAGTCTTAAAGGCAGGAAGATTTGCCATATAGCAGATTTAAGCACATTTTTTAGTAATCACTTTGAATGAAGGAGTTTTCAGTGGTTAATGCCGCTCTGTTCTGTCTGTGTTTTTTTCCAGACTATTTCTTTTGTCTACATAGTGACTGCGGTTGTGGGAGTTGAGGCCTGGTATGAACCTTTCCTGTTTAATTTCTTATATAGAGACCTATTCACTGCAATGATTATTGGTAAGAAGCTCCATGTCGAAGCCTTTTTTAACCATCACTTTGTTATCAAAAGCCAGTGTTTGACCATAGCAAGTGATAACACTCTTTCCTTGTTCTCCAGCAAGCAGAATAACCCTATGACCTTGTAAGAGTTCTACCAGATAGTTAACGAAAACGAGTGTCTTTTGTTTTTGAACACCAAGCCCTCTAATCAGAGAGAATTACCAAAGTAGTTGCCAAAGCAATCACCACACAAGCTTGGTAAAGTTTATCCAGTTTAGTCTAGACTGTATTGGATGATTTACAGTTAGTAGACATTTCATACCTATTTCAAGTTGAAACTTGTTAATTTGAAAGATTAAGACAGATGAATTAATGGAGACTTAAAATGTGTCTCTTATGTCACTGAACACTGAAGATTTTTGGTTGGATAACCATCTTTGTGTTCTGTCTGTTGCTCTCTAAGAAGGCAACCTTCATGGTAAATAGAAGCCAACCCACCTATCTCCAACCTTGTACCATCTCTTCTTTCACGGAGCCTCTTGTCCCGCCATCACCTCAGCCCCCAATTTTTTTTTCTTCAGTTGTTTTTTTTTTTTTTTTTTTTAAGGCAGGATTTTATGTAACCAAGGCTGGCCTTGAATTTCTGATCCTCCTGCCTCTGCCTCCCAAGGGATGTGTATCCCCATACCTGACTTGAATATCCATTAAAGCACATGGTTAATATTAAAAAAAAAATCTCATACAGTAGATATTTATATATTTCTTTTTTAAACTTAACAAATATAAAGCGTAGCAAAACTCCATAGGACAAGTTGCCTGATTGAGAGATACACTAATGGTAGGAGAGGACAAGCAACTATTTTAAGTTTAAATAAAGAAAAACAAAACCAAAACTGCTTTATGCAGATAAACATTTGATAGATAAAATAGAGGGGTTTTTACAAAATATGTATCCCAGAAGCACAGAAAGGGTCTACTGCAGCATTCTTCAGTGTCTGAGCCTTTCAGTTCCTAGTTTAACAGGCTTCACCAGAAGGAAGAGGTAGAGTTGTGTTTAGATAAAACAGCAGATCAATAGCCTACATGTATGCCTTTTAATCTTTTAGTGATTTTCCTATGACCCCCAAGATAATAACCTAGAATGCTTTGCTTTTTACTACTTTGCAAACCACTGGTGTTTCCCAAACTCAGTCAGCTGTCCTGTAGATACCTCCTTTGGCTAAATCAAAAGTTAGCAGGGCTAACAGGACCACATTAGGAAGCACACGATGCCTAGTTGTCTCTAATACAGGTAGTGATGAGAGGGTTCAGGTATTGCATGTCACTTCCGACTTAGTGTATGCTCTTCACCTAGCAGTACTGGAGACATTGATGACCCTTGTTTAGCCATTCATTCAGCAGACAGTAGGGGACTAAAAGGTAGTCTTATGATTAAAAATAGCACATAAATTCAAAATGACAGTTGCAAATGGAATCCGATAACAAAGGTACCACTTTGTATTGTGACACCATTTCCAGATGCAATATATGTCTAAGTTTTACTTCAACTTACAAGCACTGGATTTTCTCTTAAAATTTTTTTTATAGTTATAGAAAATGCTCATGATTAAAAAGTGAAAGCTATAAAGCAATATATTCAAAGAAGTATAGCTTTTATACTATCTATTTTTTTTTCAGTTAGCTACTCTTAGTTTTGTTTGGTGTGTGTGTGTGTGTGTGTGTGTGTGTGTGTGTGTGTGTGTGTGTGACCATGTGGGGTCAGAGGGTGAAGCGCAGGTTGTCAGGCTGATGGTAAAGGAACTTTACCCACTAAGCCATCTCTCCAACCCTTTTCTTTTAATGTTTGGCTTAGACTTCCACTATTTCTTTATTACAAATAAGTGCATGCATCATTTTATCACCTTGTTTCCCCCCCACACACACACACACACTTGGTATACTCACGGTAGTATGTAAGGGTTCTCCTTCTCTCTTCTCCCAGCTTCCTGACCCTCTGTGGTCTGTCGGGAAGCTGAGTGTTTAGATTGTCTCCATGCTTTTGCTGTTGCACACATTGCTGTAGTAAACAGACTTGTGCATGTGTCTTTTTATATTTTTTTTCTGGGCAAGTGTGGAAGAGATTCCTAAAAGCAGCGTTTTTAATGAAGGACAAACCGTGCAGTGGTGTGTTGAATACTTCCATATTCCGCTCTATCGTGCTGAGTTTGCATGCTTGTGAGCTATTGTAAAATGCTTGTTTATTCATAGTTTTGCAGTTGTATATTGTCAGTTTTGTTACCCTGGTGGCTAAGAAATTATATACTTGTATAGTTCCAATCTGCCTTTCTTGTGAATGAGCTTTTCTAGGCTTAACAACTGTTTGTGTCTGCTTTTCTGTGTGATTTAAATACTCTAGGCCATTTTCCCCAATAGAATTGTTAATCACCTCTTTCTCTTAGAGGTACTTGTGTTTTGGGTGCATTAATCCTTTTAGTTGACTAATTACAATTTTCTCACATGTCTTTTTTGTTTTGTTTTGTTTTGTTTTCAAGACAGGGTTTCTCTGTGTAGCCCTTGCCGTCCTAGAACTCTCTTTGTAGACTAGGCTGGCCTCAAACTCACAGAGATCTGCGTGCCTCTGCCTCCCAAGTGCTGGAATTAAAGGTGTGTGCTGCCATGCGTGGCTCACTTGTCTTCTTAAATTTCTCTTTAAGATACTTTTTAATTTGGTGTTTTTGTTGTTTATTTGTATTTGTATTTTTAACGGGTGCTTTGCTTACATATATGTTCGTGTACTATGTGTGTACCTTGTACCTGTTGAAGCTAAAAGAGGGCACTGGATCCTGGATATGGGGTTATGTATAGGTGTGAGCCACATGTGGGAGCTGGGAACTAAATCTGGGTTCCCTACAAGAGTAGCTAGTTCTCTTAACTGTTGAGTCATCTTTCAGCCCCATGTTGATGGCCTATTTTTGTATTTTTTAATTCTACATGTATGAGTATTTTGCTTGTACATGTGTCTGTGCACCACAGAGGCCAAAAAGTGGTGTCAGATCCCCTAGAACTGGAGTTACAGATGGTTATTAGCCACCATATGGGCGCTAAGAACTGAACCAGGTCCTCTGGAAGAGTAGACAGTGCTCCCAACAGCTGAGCCATCTCTCCAGTCTCCCATCTTGGTGATTTTTATTGAAGTTCCTATGCGATAAGTTAGAAATGTGAGAAATAGGGTTTTTTTGTAGTCACATTACCCTTAGATTGTATCTCATTTCACTTAATGCTTTTTTTATGAGTTCTCTGATTATCTATCTACCTACCTATCTATCTACCTACCTATCTATCTATCTATCTATCTATCTATCTATCTATCTATCTATCTATTGCAACTACTCCATTTTCTGTATTTTAAATTCTGGCCTTAAATTCTGGCAGTATCAAAAGTCAGGTCTGCATATATGGGTTTCGTCACTATTGTCCACTTAACATTTATTGTTTAATAGATAAGTCCTTAACAGTTCTTTACAGAATGTCAGATAAATTCCACCTAGAAGAAATAAAGATAGTCTTTCCCTTTGGCAACTTGCGTAGAACACAGACTGTGTGCATGCTGACTGTGCTTAGAGCTGGTCCTCTCCCCCCACTAAGATACTATCTCTGTCCTTGCTCGTGATAGCAAGTTTGTTTCGGCCCAGTCCAGTGACTCGGAGCTACAGGTATCACTGAGTTAACTACTTCAGTCTTAGCCAAAGCAGGAGAGCAGGTGGCACATGCTAGTGTGTGCCCTGAACTTTCCCTTCCCCAGGAGCGCAAAACAAAAAAAAGACACTAGGAAAAACATCCTCCTCCAACCTACTGACACTCAGCTGGGGCCTGCAGCTCAGAGGTGCTGATTTGTTCAGGCTCTGACTGGTCAGCTTCCAGAAGCTGTGGTTAACCCCTAAGAGAAAGATTCTCAGCTGGGTGTGGTGGTGCAGCTTCTAATTTTAGTACTGGGGTGCTGAGAGAGAAGAGACTGTGTGTGGCTGGCAGAGTGGGTGATGAATATGAGTTGATAGTCACATAAAGACTGGGATGCCCACTTAGTGGTGGCAGGAGGAGTCACAGTCACTCTGGAGTCAACCACGTTGTGTTCAAAGTCAGAAGTGACACAGAACTTACCAGTAGGAATCTTGGTAGGTTTCAAGAGTATAGTTTCTGGGGACAGGATGAGCAGATGAATGTTAAGAACTGAAAGCACTAAAATGTAGCAAGTGATGGAACACGACAGGGTAAGAGTCAGTGGGTAGGGTTTCTTAGAATGCCCGTGCGTCCTTTTTAGGTTTGTGGGAAAATAAACATGGCATGGATATAGTGGGGAGGAGAAAAACTGAAGATTACTATAAACAGGAAGGAAAGGAGTGTTGTCTGCCCACCCCCTTTGTAGGAGCTCACGTAGATTTCCTTCTGCTGGGTTCTGTTCCAGGTGTTTACATGTAACAATCCGTGCAGTTTTCAAACCCTATGTAGTTGAAACTGCTATTTTTCTGTTTCAAAAATTGGGAAAGCGAGGCACTGAAAGTTGAATTGGCTGGAGTGTCGTGGTTCTGTGATAAGTTGATGGCAAACCAGAATGCAAGTCCAGGCTGGTTTCAGTCTGTGCTCTGATTCACGCAGCTGTCCTGCCACTCACTCTTTGCTTACAAATGCTGTTTAGAAAAGTAGTTTTGCTGTGGAAATAAATTTGAACTTGAAAACTACTGGCTCTAAAACCCTGGGCATTTGCATGGATGCCGTTATTGTAAAATAATAACTTTTGAATAATTGATTAAAGTAATTTAAATATTCTTCTTTTTAGGCTGTGCACTATGTGTGACTCTTCCAATGAGTTTATTAAACTTTTTTAGGTAAGTAATTTTTTTTAAGTTGCAGAGGCGAAAGAAAGAAAATCTAGCAGTGGTATAGCTAGCAGAATTTAAGGAACTGTTTAGTTTTTTGTAATCTGGACATTTAAAAAAGGTTTTAAAAACCTGTATTTCAGATCTAGAGTGAGAACATGATAATTGAGGTTATCTTTTGGCTGATGTAGTCAATTTAACTATACTATCAAATGCTCAGTTCTTTTGTTAAGGTTTTGGACTCAGCAGTCTTCAAGTTTGTCACTTTTGTGAGTAAATTTATTCATGGTGAGGGGAGTACTTTCTTGTTAAATACTGATTTGTTCATTCTTTTAATGAAGGATAAAGGTTTAGTTAATGAGATCATAACACTTCTGGGTGGATAAGGACCAAAGTTTATGGTTGTGTAGATAGATGTTTCTGCCTTTTGGGGAATGGTTTCTGAGGTAGGGGAGGGTGGGTTCTCAGTTTTGATTTGTGCACATCCCATCTTACTGGCTACTCTGACTTGTCTTGTTTTGTCAAAATATACTTTGTTCTTTCACGTCTCAGTAATTTTGCTCTGGCTGTTTCCTCTGCCACTGTTATTTGTTCTTCCTACTCATTCCTTTAGCGCTCAGATCTGTCTTACAGAATCTTAACCTGTGTCCAGACAAGTTCTGTACAGCTTCTGTTGTGGCTGGTGGCCATACATAGAAGTACACATGTTGAGCCAGGTGTAGTGCATACTCATAATCCAGGCACTTTGGAGGCTGAGTCTGAGGCCAGCCAGCCTGGGCTGTGTAATGAGTACCAGGTCTGCCAGGAGTACCCAGTATGATCCTGTCTTTAAAATAAAAAAAAAAAAAAAAAAGTAATGGCATTTAAAGTTTGCAAGCATACTGGTCATTTGAGTCATTTGGTTGGGTCTCAGACTGACCAAAGTAATGTGATCAATAACAAAACCAAGACTAGAATTTGGAGCGCTGTTCAGATGAGCCAACATGTTTGATTGCTCCCAGGGTATTTAGACACCAAGATGCACTGGCAGGCTCTCTTCAGGGCCTGTTGTGTGACACACATCTAAATTTTTTATTATTTTATGTGGTGGGTATTTTGCTTGCATGTCTTTATACCACATGCATGCCTGTTGCCCAGAGAGACTGAAAGAGAGTGTTGGATCTTCTAGAACTGAAGTTGTGAGCCTGTAGGTGCTGGGAACCAAACCTGGGTCCTCTGGAAGAAGAGTCAGGACTTTTAATCACTAGGCCAGTGGTTCTCAGCCTTCCTGATGCTGTAACTCTTTCATACAGTTCCTCATGTTGTGCTGAAACAAAATTATATTGTTTCTGCTTCATAACTGATTTCACTACTATTACAAATTGTAATGTAAATATCTGATATGCAGGATATGTGACTCCTTTGAAAGGGTTGTTCAAGCCCCCCAAAAGGTTGAGAACTGGTACTCTAAACTATCTCTGCAGCCCCATCATTCCATTCTTAATACAGGTGCTGACCATTTGGTTTAAAAAGTAAGAAAGGGCATGACAGGACATTACTTTAATCCCAGCACTCTGGAGACAGAGGCAGATGGAGCCACATAGTGAGTTCAGGTCAGCCAGGACTACATAGTAAAACTTTGTCTAAAAATAGAGAAGGGAAGGAAGAAATGGGGAGCGAATGGAAGAGGGGAGGATCGATGGAGTTAGAACTTCAGTTGTAGTCCTGGCCCTGGTAGCAACTGTAAACTTAGAGCATTTCATCCTAACTTAGCCTGTCTTTTAGTTTATTCACTTTGTATCCCAGCTGTAGCCGCTCTCCCACCCCTCCCAATCCCACCTTCCCTCTCTCTTCTTCTCCTATGCCCCTCCCCCAGTCCACTGATAGGGGAGGTCCTCCTCCCCTTCCATCTGAACCTATCAGGTCTCATCAGGAGTGGCTTCTTTGTCTTCCTCTGTGAACTGGAAAGGCTGCTTCCCCCTCAGGTGGAGGTGATCAAAGAGCCAGCCCATGAGTTCATGTCAGAGATGGTCCCTGGTCCTATTATTGGGGAACCCTCTTGGATACTTATCTGCCTTAAATGATGGTTCTCTGTGCCATAGGGTTGTATACAGTAAGAGTACATGTGAAAGGAGTCTGGAGACAATAAATGTTAGGCATGTGTCTTACCTGTAGCTATAACAGTGTTCTTTATTGACTTTTCAGAAGTTATAAAAGCAACACCCTGAAGCACAATTCCGTTTATGAAGCCATGGTCCCCTTCTTCTCTCCGTGTTTGCTCTTCACTTTGTCTACAGTGTGGATCCTTCAGTCGCCCTCAGACATTTTAGAAATACACCCTAGAATATTCTACTTCATGGTTGGAACAGCTTTTGCCAATATCACAGTAAGACTTTTGTTTGTTTTGGTTTGGTTTTTTTTTTAGACAGGGTTTCTCTGTGTAGTCCTGACTGTCCTGGACTCGCTCTGTAGACTAGGCTGGTCTTGAACTCACAGAGATCCACCTGCATCTGCTTCCCGAGTGTTGGGATCAAAGGCATGCCACCACACTGGCTAAGACTTTATTTTTAAAAAATCATATAAGCCAGATGTGGTAGCTTATGCCTATAATTCAAGGCCAGCTTGGGCAACATGAGAGCCTACTCAGAAAACAAAAATAGCAACAAAAAGGAATCAGAGCAGTTTTGAAAGGTGTTTGTTGCTGATCGGAGGTTGGAGGTCAGGGTTTGTGCTTCCTCTTCACTGCCATGAAGAAATAGAGTTATGTCAGGTCTTAGGAGGTTGTTTTGATATTATTCTTCACATAGTTTAGAATCTTAAAACTGGGAGATACTTGTATCTCAGCTTTTACCACACGGTGAAAAAATACCCTCTGAAGCATCTGTCTTAGTTCTTTCTCATCTCATGGCAAAGCACCTGACAAAAGCAACTTACTGAAGGGCTTATTTTGGTTTCTGCTTTAAGAAGGGAAACAGTTCACCAGGCGGGGGTGTCATGTCAGGTCACATTATCTGTCACTTTGCAGTGAGGAGGGCACTGCTCCGCTCACTTCTTTCTTTTTATTCAGTCCAGGACTCCAGCGCATGGATAGTGCTCCCCACATACAGAGTGTGTCCTCCCTCCTCATTTAAACCTCTCTGGAAACTCCTCCACAGACACGCCCAGAGGTGTGTTTCTGAGATGATTCTAAATCAGTGATTTTTGACAGTGGAGATGAACCAGCAGAAGATCCTTACTACATTGCCATAGTCTCTTCTGATACGTTCTGAGATCTGGGCTTTAAGGGTGGGGCCAAGGGCCAGTTGGGTCCATGAGCAATTGAGAATTATTGAAAATAGATACATTCTTGAAAGCTTCTTAAATGTAGAGGTGACTAGTTCTGAAAGTGCTTTGCTGATTAATACTCCCTCTTTTCCTCCCCTCTTCTTGCTTCTCCCAGTGTCAGCTAATCGTTTGCCAAATGAGCAGCACACGGTGCCCGACTTTGAACTGGCTGCTGCTTCCTCTCTTCTTGATTGTGGCAACCGTGATCGTAGGCGCCGTGTCCTCCCACGTTGAGAGTGTTCTTCTCTACACGCTCACAGCCGCCTTCACTCTGGCTCACATCCACTATGGAGTACAAGTGGTGAGTGATCGATGAAGCGCAGAGCAGAGCTGCTTCTGTCTGCCTCTTGGGAATATAAAGGGACGTGGGGAGTGCAGAGGAGGACTGCCAGTGTCGTTCTGAAGTGTGGAGGGTGGCAGTGGGGTTTCAGGTACTGTGGAGGGTGGCAGTGGGGTTTCAGGTACTGTGGAGGGTAGGCGTGGGGTTTCAGGTACTGTCTGCTAGTGATTAGATTACAGCAACTACAGACGGTTTCTAAGTGAGTGATGATGGGGAATTGGTTCTTACTCTAAATCATTATATAAAGTTTTCTTATTGAGAAAACCTTGTTCTATTCTTGTCATTATGTGGGACCAGTTAATCCCATTAGTTTCTTTCTTTGCCTCTTTAATCTGAGGACATTTTTATTGCCTGTTAATTTAATGTGGGGAAAACAAGTAACATTGGTTGATAGTTTTCCTCTGCCCATTTCTAATCCTGTGAGAGATGGACTAAGGCAGCATCTTAGGGTGTCTATTGCTGTGAGAAACACCATAACCAGAAGCAACTCAGGAAGGAAAGGGTTGCTTGAGCTCACGGTTCCGAATCAGAGCCCATTACCAAAGCAAGTCAGGGCAGGAGCCTGGAGGCAGGAACTACAGCCGGACATGGAGGAACACTGTTTACTAGTTTGCTCTCCATGGCTTGCTCAGTCTGATTTCTTATAGCACCTGTGACTATCTGCCCAGGGGTCTCAGCACCCCACTAGAATGTGGTTGGGCAGACCCTTTCCTGTTTCTGGTGTTTTTTCCTGTGTCAGTAAATCACTGTATGCAGAGGTTGAGCTCTGAGTATGCTCACAGAAGAATCAGGAATGTGTTTGTCATCGTCTTGTTTTGGTTTTCTGTAGGTGAAGCAGCTGAGCAACCATTTTCAGATTTACCCTTTCTCATTGAGGAAACCAAACTCAGATTGACTAGGAATGGAAGAAAAGAGCATTGGCCTGTAACCTTCAGGAAGTACTGTAAATAGATGCTTGTAAATACTTCATCCATCACCATTGAACTAAACTGATCTGCTTGACAGACATGGGACCTCAGTGTGTGGTATGTGGACAGCAGGAATGAAACATTATCTGAGCTTGTGGAATTGTGGACTTTCTAACTCCCAACTTTATTATTATTATTATTTTTTATGAAACCATGAGACATTTGGTTAAGCACAGTGCACATTAAACCAGCTAAATGTTCCTAGCTTCATGAATGAGTCCATGATATTTTGACTCATGTAGAGTTGAAGGTGATTTATGTTTAAAGTCCCCAAATTGATACACAACACTAGTAACATTCAGGTAGCCACAGCATGTCTTAATATTTGATACTTTATAATAGGTTGTTAGCTGTGGGAATGATAGACAGCCCAAATCTAATATAGAGGTGTCAAAAAAAAAAGTCTCTTCAGCCAGAGATGCCAGTGACTCCAGAACAGTGCAGTTGCCAAATTCTGGTTGCTTTTCAGTGAACGGCCTTTTCCACCTGCTGTGGGAGGTTGTCTAGTATCCTGGCTCTTATTATGGCTAAATCCCGATAAATGGCTTAATTTTTCTTTAGAGAGAAGTGTTCTGTTGATATTATTATAGAATGGGTTATAATTATGGCTTATCATTGTAGCACGGCATTGTTTAATTGTGACGTTTCCTCCTGTCAGCCGTGCGTTGCTGCGATTGCTTGAGCAGTGATTTTTAAGAAGGCATGGGATAAGTACCAATCTGCGGTACTTCCTTGTGAGAGGAAACGCAAACTGGAGTTAGAAATCTCAGAACTTCACGGTGACCACGGTTAGCATCCTGACACTGTCTGTCTGTCAGTCTTTGCTTGCTTTCATTCTCTCCTGGGGGTTGAGGTGCTATGGTTTTTAATCTCACAACAGGATAAAGCAGAGAGATAGCCTCTCTCCCCTAACTTGCCCACCTTTCAATTTAAAGAAAACTTTATGCCTTACTGATTATTTACTTCCTTAATATGACTCAAAATAATTTTTGAGGTTTACTGACAACATAAAAAATCCCTTCAGCTGTATTGTGGTTATTTTGTAAATCACACCTTATTATGAATGTGGATCTTTCTTTGGGCTTTATCTTTATTTAGTTTGGTGGTGGTGAGTTTTACTTGCTTATTTTATTTTCCACTGAATGAGGTTTGTGCTTAAATGAAGAGTGTGTCTTAAACCCTTTTCTTTGGACAGGTTGCACTTGGATAAAATAGGCACCACTGTGTTGATATGTAATTAAATTCATAACTGTTATTTATCTGTGAATGTGACCATCCTTAAATATTTTAGCTCATTCCTTTTTTGAATATCTCTCTGCTGCTTTGTAAAAAAAAAAATAATAATAATAATAACTAATTGATACTTCCCGTAAACACTTTTTAAATTCTAATCATTGTCATCCAGCTGTTGAAAATGAGTCCAGGATTTAACTCACAGTTCTGTGCTCAGTTTTCATTGTTTGTAGGGCTTACGTGTATTTGGGGACATTCTGTGACACAGAAAATGAAAGAAAAAATTGATGAGAAATTGATGTGGGAAATGGGTACTGATTCTGTGTCTGTCAATAAATTGCCATCATGGAGGTCAGAAAATGAGCCAGGTGTGTGAGGAGAGCTGCTCTGTGTACCTGCGCTCTGTAGAACAGAATTGGGTAACTTTGTTATAAGGTTTTTGGCTAATCATTTTACTGTTTTCTTGACCTTGTACACAAGAATATTTATTTGTATAAGGGAATATAACTGATAAATATTTATAAAATAATGAATCTGGGCCACAGGCTTTCTTCACCTTGTACAGTAGATTGAAGAATCATGTCCTAGAATTTTGAGGCTCTTTCTTCTTCTTCTTCTTCTTCTTCTTCTTCTTCTTCTTCTTCTTCTTCTTCTTCTTCTTCTTCTTCTTCTTCTTCTTCTTCTTCTTCAAAATGTGTTTGTCTTCTTTGTTGCATCAAGTGGATTTGAAAATGTTTTGTGCCTTTTGTTCTAGATTTTTTAAACATGTCTCTGTGATGGTAAAGAATTCTGTTAATAGTTTTGTTGACACTGTCTAATGGAAGAGGAGTAAAAGGTACTGCAAGCTGATGTATACTGTTTTGAGTGACTTGACTTCACAGCTTTTCCCAGGTGACAAGAGCTGCCTTTCAGGGAGCAGCATGGTGTTGGGAGCGTCCTCACACGCCTTCTGTGCTTGCTGGATAGAGGTCCTTACCCAAGCCTGGGGTTTGCCTCACCATGCTCTTGGACCATGTTACAGATACCATTACAAGTTCCTTTTCAGGTTATTTTTATGAAAAAGCCCTTTCAGGCTTGTCAGAAAATAATCTCCCAGTATTTGAGAGGATGTGGGATAGAAAAACATCAATAATATTTGGATAGAACCTGCCACTTGTGATCTTTCAATAATGTTTATGATCTTATTGCAGTGCGCTGTTTGCTTCCAAAAATAATAGTAGAGTCTATAGGTTTTAGAGCAATAGAGTAACTTTGAAGTAAAAATATAACCATTCTTTCTTGGCATTTCAGTATCATGATTAAAATACTTTTAATTCCAGTTTTGAAAAGGAAATAGTGAGCATGGTTTAGGTGTCACAGTACCACACGTAATATGCCATTTGTTTTCTCCTGAGGCATTGGGAAGAGAGGTGCACATCTGGGATTGGCACATGCTAAGTAGATGTCCAGAGCTGGCCGTGACTTGGAGCCTGAACATTAAGGGACTTTGTTGTTGTCAGAGGGGTTACAGGAGGAACCTTGCTTCCTGAAGCCACTTCAACTCCATGACCTGTCGAGAGTAAAAAGGTAGTTTGGAGGTGTTTTAAGTCCAGGACTACTTTTTCCCTTTAAATTCTGACTTGAAACCTACTTGCAATTCTTCCTGTCGGCTAGCCAACACCTAGGACAGAGAGCTCGCCGCATCCTGGCTGGGTTGCAGCTGGATGTTGCCACCTTCAGATGGTTAATGCCTTATATCTCTTGGCCAGTGAAAGACTGCAACAACCCCAGAGAAGATAGTAAAACCTGTGGGCTTGCAGCTTCTGATTTTGGGTCTCTGAACTAGCCAGAAACAGATGGAGAAATTGGTTGTGATTGTTTGGGGTGGCCTTATCTTCACTTCCTTGTTTTATATAACAAAAATCTCAATTGTTCAATTTTACCAATAAAGACTCAGAATCCAGGTGCTGGGGTAAAAAAGCCTGCTAGCGCAGAGAGGCAGGGAAGGCTCCCAGCTGAACTGCCTCTTCAGCCAACATCCAAAAAGAAGAAAGAGCTCCTTCAAACTGAATGCGCCTCCCTTCTACTTCCGGTGTGTCTCTCTATCCATCCTCCTGACTTCCTCTTACTCTCTGTGGGTTCTTTCTTATGTTCACTCCCTGTCAGCTGGTTGCTCACTGCATCTCTTGACTAAAGGCTGACTTTAGTTAATCTTGTTTACAATATTCAAGCAGAAAGCTCTTGAATTAAAGATGTGTGCTAGGGCTGAGCCACACCACAACTAGAAACAGGGTTTCCAGTAAGCAACACAATCTCAGGGTTTGCGGTGTGAACAAATATCCTGCAACACCTACTTCTGGGCTTGGTCAAGGCCTCTTTAGGAAATCTGTGACGTCAGACCAGAAGTTTCTTTGTCCCATGAAATGCTTGAAAGCAACATGCTCTATCTCTAGCACTCACAGTGGGTGAGTAATCCTATTATAATTAGCTGTCCCTGCTCCAGCCTTCCAGAACGAGGGTTGTTACCTAGTTGCTGCACCTGCACTGAAGTTCTTTGATGTGCATTTAAAGTGACAGTCCCAACAGTCAAATGGTGTTAACTAATCACTGAGAAACTTGAATGCGTGATGCTCTAGGAATTTTAAAAAGGGTAGTGTAACTGTCTGCTTTGCCTTTGCTAGTTGTGTAAGCCACGTGGTTTACAGATTTTAGGTGGTTTTTGCTTGTTTGTTTTGTTTTTAAATCATGTCTGACAGTGGTACAAATGACTGACATCTCAACAGGCCATGGCTTCAGGGTATGCAGTGAATTGTGGCCATCCAGAGAAAGCAGTGACCTGTGTGTTTCTTTCTCACACGAGCCATGGGAGTTGGACTTGCTGGCTGGTTTAGGTCCAGCGTTTGACAAACTAACCGTGACTTGCTTTCTGTCCTGCTTTGCTCTTTCATAAACAGATGTCACGTGATAGTACACCAGTGGCTTCTTGTCCATCTGTCTTGTAAGCAGGGATATGTTCTTTTTTTTGTTTTTTAAGATTTATTAATTTATTTTATGTGTATGAACACTTGTTTTCATGTACTACTGAAATCAGATTCCATTACAGATGGTTGAAAGCCACCATGTGGTTGCTGGGAATTGAACTCAGGACCTCTGGAAGAACAACCAGTGCTCTTCACCGCTGAGCCATCCCTCTAGCCTAGAGATAGATTCTTTTTATAGATGTTTGGTAAGTTCACACTTAGGGTAGTAGGAGTGTTGCTATTTGGAGCCCTCCCACAGGCAGCCTGAGCAGGGAGGTTTTGTTCATTCAGTGAGGAAGGCTGGGTTCCCAGGGTGGAAAGCGACTCACGGAATGATTGTAGAGTATTTGACAAGGGCTTGGCTCTCTAGGAAAATACCTTTGGGTTGAACAGAAAGGTTGCTCTGGGCTTTTAGAGTGTTTTTTTCCCTTTCAGAGAATCGTTCTTAGAAAGCTGGACCAAGTCAGAGGGTCCAGCAGTTTTGATGGCAGCTGGAGCAATGGCACTGGGAGTCTAAAATAGAAAGAGAAACCAGTGCCCTTTCAGCACAGTAAAACAAAATCAGAGATAGCGCTGAATCCAGAAAGTGACTAAATACTGTGGGTGTTCTCTGTCATGCTGGCCAAGATCTTGAAAGCAGTTTCTTTGGGTAACAACCAAAGTAAGAGTTGAATTGTGGCTTTTCATAAGCAGAAATAATCCTTCGTGAATGCTTGATTGTGATATTCTTGGTAGGCACTTTTTTATATCTAGAAGGAAGAACTTGTGACCTGGAGCACGTTTATTTCATACTTGAGGTAGCTGAGTGGGTTACAGACGTGGCCTGTTTTAACTTGGCTGCATTACTGACCTGTTGGGCTTACTCCATCAATAGCCATGAGCACCAGAGTGACTCGCTGACTCCACTCTCCACAGTAACATTTGGATGTCAGTTATTTGGTTTAGGTCCTCATCAGAGCAGACATTTGAGAGACAAAGACTCAGTTATGTATAGTGATTAGCTCATTTCAAAATGTCCCAAGAAAGCAGATTTCAGTATAGAACTCCGAATTCTAGTTAAAAAAAGAAAAAAAAAATTCCCCCCCTCTTTGGGTAGAGTAGAAGACAATAGTGAGCAAGTCCTTTAAAGGGGAGATCTTTTCTTTCCTTCCTACCTTCCAGTGATCAAGAATGGATGATGGTTGAAGAAAAAGAAATTACTACTTTTTTGAGTAAGGTTTCATGTTCAACGCTAAGACCGGGTGGCAAGAATTTAATTAGGTGCCTTTGTGAGCAGAAGCAAGAGTACAATTCCACTCCTTCCCAGGTACTCAACCCCTCCTCCCCCCCCTGCCCCCCCGCAGGAGCCGGTGGAGGGTGTTTGCTGCAAAGAATGAAATAAAGACATCAGATCTTTCCTCTTTCAAGTGCTTCCCACTCTAGTTGACCTACATAGGACTCGCTGTGTTAATAGTTCATGTGCTCTGTACATACACACACTTAGTAGCACAGCTCTTGTCTGTGTACATATATGATGCCGTATCTACGTGGAGTTTACCCTTGATTCCCATCAGCCAGGTGGTAACCCTCGTCAGACTGTTGCTTTGGGTGGACTTGGTGTGTCCATGGCCCACATCTAAAGCCACTTTCCTTCCTGGAGCCATAACCTTTCCCCTCCAGGTCACCTCAGGCCTTGAGAAAGCCCTCAGAGCATATCACTTTCCACTTCCTCTTCACCAGGGAACTTGTGGGCCAGAAAGACTGATTTCAAGAATGCTGGCTACTGTCTTCAGGGCTGAGGTTTCTGGGTCTGCCAGGCCCTGTTTGGGCCAGAGGGCAGCTTTGGGAGCAATGTGCCTGTGGACTCCATTGGAGAGATACTTGCTGAACTTTACCGGAATGTTCCAAGTCTTGTGATTCGATGTATAGTAGGATGCTTGGGGCGTTCGAATGTGATCTCTGCATTATCTGTGTTACTGTTCCCTGTTGCTAGTTCGTATAACCAAGACCTGACTGTTCCTTGTCACTGGATTCTACAAGCCTTGACTGTTCAACTGGATTTATGTTCGTGTCTGCTGCTCTCGACTCCAAAAGTTAAAGCAGTGGGTTTTCGATTGTTTAATTCTTTATTGCTAAATATTTATTGTAATAAAAAAATAAATAATTTTTAAATCCTTTTAATTGTTTTCAAGTTGTTGTTTTTGTCCTTCCTTGCTAGATGCAAAAGGGAAAGTGCTGTAGTAGGAAGCAGTGTCCAAGCTGCTTGATGTGTGGAACCATTGGTCAACCATTGGTCAAGCACAATAGTAAAGGTCTTGTTTGTCTTTTTAAGATGAGTCTTACTTAGATCCAAAGTGACCTGATTTCTTACATCTTTGTTCCACCTGCCATTACTGGGATTGCAGGTGTGTGCACTCTCAGGCCTGATTAACGTCGTGTTGACAATCCAGCTGAATCGCATTGCTAGCCCTAAAAAGGGCGTCGTTGCTCTTTTTCTGGTTGTTGCTTGTTTGGGGTATAGAAAGGTCAGCTTGCTTTCAAAAACCATCCTAGGTGTGACCTCCTTCAGTCCCACCCTGGTGACAGCAGCACTTGATTCCCTGGGGACAGTGGAAATAATAAACACAAACTTTTTTTTTTTTTCAAGGCAGGGTCTCATGTAGCCCAGGCTGGCCTCAAATACTGTGTAGCTGAAGGTGACTTTGAACTTTTGGTCCTCTTGTCTTATCTCCTGGATGCTCTGAGTACAGGCATGCCCCCATAGCCAGCTTAACTCTGTGCTGGGGCTTGAGCCAAGGGTTTTAAGTATGCTAGGCAGGCTCTCTACCAATTGATGTACATCCCTACCCTCTAGTTTAAGTTTAAAAAACAAAAAAAACCTTTCAGCTGTGTTCAAGCTCGATATAGCTCCTGGCTCTCTGGCTTCCTCCATTCCTTCCTTCATAATTTTTGAAAGATGCATTTATTGGCAGTAGGGCTATGCCCCTGCCCACGTGTGGATGTCAGAGGATAGTCTTTGGAATTTGCTTCTCTCTCAGTATGGAGGGTCCCATGGATGGGACTCAAGTGGTCAGGCTTGGTGGCAAGCAAGCACCATCATCCACTGAGCCATCTTTCTGGCCTGGCTCCTTCATTCATACCTTAAAGACAATACTAAAGAAGTTTTTAGGAAAAGAAATGAAATTGGATAAAGATTTCCTTCTGGGAATCTGATTAGTAAAATTTACACAAATTGGGATGTACAAATAAACCGAGAAGTTTCTAAAAGGTGTGATAGGTTTTCTGACATCCTCAAACTCCAGTTAAGGTTATTTGGTATAAACATACAGAAATAGAATCATATAATCAATGTGTTGTTTCTCCCCACACACACACACACACAAAATAACCTAAGCAGCTAGATATGGTGATATGTACATTATCCCAGAGACAGGAGAATTATCCTGGACCTACAATGTGAGCGAACGCCAGGCTAGCCAGAGCTACCCTACCTGTATCAACAGACAAAGCTCTGTGTGTGGTGGGGTCTGCGACTGTGGGTTTAGTGGGTTCAGGAACACACTGGCACAGCCAGCTGCCCACCCAGGTTAAAGCACATGGCCCTTAAAGGCAGCTCTCTGCACCATGATGGGGTTTGAAGATGTTCACTGATGTGTTGTCCTTGAAGAATGAGCAGTGGAAGCCCACGCAGGGACAGTGCCCATTACAAGACATCCTGTTCTGAGCTAAGATCAAAGAGCCCAAGGACTGCACTGTATCCTTGGCCGGGATGGGGATAACAAGAATGCCAGCGCCATGGTTCCTACTGTTCCTACATTCAGCCTGTGATAACCAGAAGCCCTTTCTCCTTATTGCTATGGATTCTGTTGATACAGGGGGTGACCATTTGGGCATCTAGGTCTTTCCTGAATTAATCTCCAGACAGCTGTCAATCTGTTGTAGCAAGTTACTCCCATAATTCCCAGCTATCCATTCGTCCCCCTTTCAGATGATTAACAGATGAGCTGTCGTCAGCCATGAATGGACTGTTCCACATGATAGTCACAGACTCTGGTTAAATGTTCCCTATGTCTTTTCCTTCTGTGGGTTTATAAGGCATTTCTCAGAACAGGCCCACCTTTGGAATCTACAGGTAGTGTATGCTGGTCAGTAGCAGGACTAACCCTTTGCCCCTTCCCTAAATCCCTCTCAGCTGTGACAGCTGTACTCTTGCCTGCCTCTGCCACCGAAAGCAAAAACAAAAGACAGGAGTAAGCTGACAGTTTTATCTTAGCCTCGCCACATAGCCCAAGCTGGTCTTGAAATAAATCAGTCCTGCCTTAGTTACCTCGGTACTGAAGTTACAGGCCCAAGCTTTCATCCTAATTATGCCCCTTGTAAAGGTGTATGTGTGTGAGTGTGTGTGTGTGTGTGTGTGTGTGTGTGTGTGTGAGAGAGAGAGAGAGAGAGAGAGAGAGAGAGAGAGAGAGAGAGGGGCAGAAGAGGGTGCCAGGTCCTGTAGAGCTGGAGTAGAGGCATTTGCGAGCCACTCAGTGTGAATGCTGGGAACTGAACTCAGGTCCTCTTGAAGAGCAACAAGTGCTCTTCATGGTTGAGTCATCTCTCCTGTTGTTTCTTGCTTTTTTGAGATGGGAGGGGGCAAGTCCAGAGCCTCACACATACTAGGCAAACTGCCTCTTAACTTCCTTTTTAAAACAGCTGCCCCAGATATGGAGAAGAAAGGAGAGAGATCTAATAGTAGTGGTCAGTACCCAAACAACAGAAAAATGGGAGTCACTGTCTTCCCACACAGGAAGCTAGGCTGATAGATACCTGGTATGGCTTTGGGCCATTATTACCTAGTATTCGTACTGATCACTTGTCATGGGTCTGTGTCGTCCCCCCCCACACACACACACACACTATGTAGACCAAGATGGCCTTGAACTCCTAGAGAGCCTCCTGCCTCTGCCTCCTGAATGCTGGAGTTAAAGGCATGCACCACTGTGTTTTTTTGGTGGTGGTGGTGGTGGTGTTTTTTGTTTTTTAAGACATGATCTCATGTTCTCCCAGGCTCCCCTCTAACTCACTATATTGCCAGAGATGCTTTTGAACTTCTGAGTGTCCTCTGACTCCCAAGTTCTTAGAATTTTATGGTACTTTTGTTCTTTAATTTGTGCCCTGTGTGGCAGTTCATTCCCGTTGACAATCTCATGATATCCTTGTCACGGCCAGAGCTAGCCAAATACATGTACAAGCACACACAGACATACGGCTTCATGAATGTTAGGGGCATGAGCCAGAACCTAAAAGAGCCTAGATCCTTAGGAAAGTTTAGTGCCTGAGGTTATAACAAAAGAGAGCTTTAGTAGAAGACCCTAAATCGTAGAAGCAGCTGCCCGTTTGCACCATTGCAGACTTGAAAAACTGATGTTTAAAATGCATTAATAGAAAAAAAAATGGCTCCGCTTGCCTCTTGGCAGGACTTGGTCACAAAGGCTTATCTTCGTGGCCTGATTTTTGAGTCGAGTGGACAAGGCAATATTTTCTTGGCAGCTAAGGAAATAGCCCTCAAGGAACTTCGATTCTTCCAAGGTGGCAGGGTGGGTCCATGGCTAGTGTCTGTATTCCAACTGCCCATTGATTAGCTGTCCATGTCTGATGAGGTGAGGGCCAATCAAAATAATACTGGTACAGTTTGGCTTGAAAGGCCTTCGGGCTGGAGATAGAGTCTCAGGACAGGGCCCCCATCTAGATGTGTGAGTCCCTAGGTTCAGTCTCTGATGCTATGAAAGTAAAACTCCGGGGTGTTAGCTTTTGGGATTGTGTCTTGCAACTTGGAAGTTTTTACAATCCTGCCTAGGTCTCCCAGATTGTGAACTGCCATGTCTGGGTATTTAAAGGATTTTAAGTGTGTGTGTGTGTGTGTGTGTGTGTGTGTGTGTGTGAGCGTGCGAGCATGTGTGTGCAGATCATCAAATTTTTAAATAATTAATTAATTATTAAGAGGCAGAGTCTCATTCTGTAGCTCAGGATGACCTAGAACACACTCCTGAGTGCTGGGATTATGGACGTGGTGTTTTTGTTTTATTTTGTGTCTCCTGTCCACGTTGCTCCCACCTACCTACCCCACTTGCTGATTTTGACAAACCCTTTACCACGGAGCTCTATCACAAGCCCACAGGCATGGTTTTAATTCTTAATGAGAACATTAAAAAATGTTTTTTATACATATGCATCGTGTGAAGGTCAGAGGACAACTCTTCAGAACTGATCCTTTTTCCATAGTGTGGGTCTGAAGGACTGAACTCAGCCATCTCTCTGGCCCAGGAACATTATTTTTGTTGAAAAGGGGACACACGGTACCTAAGGAATAATGTTCAGCAGACTGCTGCTTTGAGAGAGGGTGGCGTTCTGGGTCCCTTCCCCCAAACCATTTTCCTGCACCCTCCTCTTTTTCGATAAGTAATGCCTGCAGGAGATCATAGTCGGGTGTACACTTGGGTTCACGCTTCCAGAATAAAGCAGTGGGCTGAGGTGGTTTCGCACAGCTGGGATACAAACGTACAGATCTTGGTGCGAGACAGAAAAGATGGACCCTGGCGCCCACGGGACAACTCCTCCAGCTGTGGGTCATGTGACTGCTTTCCCTTGGCAACGGCTTGTTCCTAGCAACCAGGCTGCTGGTCCAGGCGAGCTGCCAGTGGACGGGAGGTCGCCGCCATGAATCCGTCAGGAAGCATTGGGGTCCTAGACCAGGGGGATGGGGACGAACATACATCCAACACCCCGATTCTTGGGCCCTCCGTGAATTCGGAAAACCCGCAGGAGCGCATCTTGGCAAGGCGCCTGCGCATCGCTGCCCGCTTGGAAGCCCGAAGGCGGTGAGCCCGGTGGTGGGGTGGTGCTGTGAGGGAGCTGGGGGACCGGCTGGGTGGGAGCTCTGTGGTGAGGGGCGGGTGGCTACGTGTGAGCGGGAGAGCTTTTCTTCCAGAACATTTAAGCACTGAGTTTTGAGACAGCTAGGGCTACATATGGGCTACCTTGTCCCAATATTTAAAAATAAAAGATTCTAGGCTAGATTTAGTCCAGAGGCTAGTTTGCTGACCTGATGTAATGGGGATTGTTCTGTGAAAGATTCAGTTATCCACAATCCACTGAGAATACCTTATAACAAAGGCCAAGACGACGACCACAGCCTGTGAGCCTGTGTGATTGTTCCACGTAGAGGCGAACACCTTGATCCTTTTTAAAAATAGAAAATAAAATAAAGTCGGGTGTAGTGGCTCATGCCTTTAACCCCAGTGCTGGAGAGGCAGAGGAGGACAGATCTCTGAGACCAAGGCTAGCCTGGTCTACATAGGAAGGCCTTGTCTCCTCAAAATAAAATAAAATATAGTAAAACTTTCAGTTAATGGCCAAAGTCACTGGGCCCTAGGCCATGTCAGTCTGCTGTGGTGAACCTGCTTGTTTGTGCTTGCAGAGACTGATAATCATTTTCCAGAATCCATCCAGGTATTGCAAGCTCCAGGCCTGTGAGCTAAGCGGTGCTGTGCTGGGGATCACCACGCCTGCATCCCCGGGCCCTGCTCCCTTTGTTAGCTTAGGCACAGTCAAAGGGGCATCCATTTGGCTCCCATGCTATGAAAGCCCTTATCTTCTGGTCACCAGAGTTAATGTGGCAGGTTCCTCAATTTCTAAGTAGTTCATTCCAGTCTTACTTTTGCGGAGAGAGAGGAAAAAAAAATGATGTTTGGCTGAGTCTACAGGTCCAGCGGAAACCTAAGATGAAGGCTGCCTGTATGTCTTCCTCCTAGGTGGGCAAGGCCACGGTGATGGTTTGCATCTCTAGGTACCAGTGGTAACTGAGATCTTGTTTTAATTGTCCTAAAACTGCCTGGATAGGTATTCTCCTCCTCACCAACACTTTCCTAGTGACCATCGGTCTTCTCAGGAAGGGCTAGGAGCATCATTACAGTGTGTATTTGCCACTGTGTTCCAGGCTATTCCTCCTGGGAGCCCTGCTACCACTTTAGTTAACAGGTTCTGAGGTGAGAACCGGGGTCGGTTTAGGAACTGGGCCAGGCAGGGCTGTCCTGCAATCGGTGCTGCTTTCTTTGGTTAGCAGATGGACTGGACCCTTGTCTGGCCTTCTGTTTGGCTCCAAATGATGCCAAATTTAACCGTCTTCAAAGCTGTCTGCGGATCATGGTCTTGACTGTCACAGTGGCCTTTGACAATGATACCAGGGATTCAGTGAAGATCACATGACAAAACTTCCCCCAGGAAATTTATACTCTAATCAACAACGGGCATAAGTAGTGCTGTAAGTGTGAGATATGACAGGGACAGAAATGACTGCCTATTCTTTTAGGGGAGCCAGGCTTGATCTTTAACACCCCAAGGCAGTTCACAATTGTCTTAACTCCAGTTCCAGTGGAACCAAATGCACCTCTTCTAGCTTCTGTGGGCACTAGGCAGGCACGTGGCTACACAGACATACAGGCAGGCAAAACACCCTTTCACATAGAATAGAATAATAATATTAATCCTGTTCAGCACAATGGAGGAAATAGGCCTACTCCAGGGTAAGGGGGAGGGGTGCAACTCAGTGATTTATCATGTGGCAATTCCCAGCACAAAAGGAAGGAATGAAGGGAGTGAAGGGGAGAGCAGAGAAAAAAAAGAGAAAAGCAGGAGGAGGAAGGAAGAGAGGAGGAAAGAGGAGTCCTTTCCAAAGTATATCACTGCAAAAGTCCAGAATACCAAGCCCAAAGAGAAGTGTCTAGAAGCTTCCAGAGTAAAGAAAATGCACCAGGTGCTGTCCATACCAGTGACACCAATACTTAGGAAGCTGAAGCAGATGGTTCAAGAGTTCCGGGCCATCCTGAGCTACAGAAGGAGACCCTGCCACAAGGAAACCAACAACAAGACAGGATAACCGAGGGTGATCACGTCCAGCCTCTGTGTGGGTGCTGGAGGCTGGAGGTTTGAACTCAGGTCCTAGTCCTCATGTTTCTATCTTCCCCGGTGGAAGTGGGTGGTTTCTGTTTTGTTTTTAGATTTATTTTCTTTTATGTGTATGAAGGCTTTGCCTGCATGAATGCATGAGCACTGCATTCCTGCCTCGTGCCCGAGGAGATCAGATGAGGGTACTGGATCCCTGGAACTTGAGTTGTGAATAGGCATGTGGGTGCTGAGAGCTGAACCCAGGTCTTCTGCGAGAACAAGTGTTCTTAGCCACCAAGCCATCTCTCCAGCCTTGTAGTGTGTATCTTAGCAGATTTTGGTTTGGTCTCACTTCATTTCAAGGGTCTCTTAGTCACATGTGGTGAGTGCGATCCTATGGGCTAGCACAGTGCCCAGGTTGGAAAAAAAAAGTGAATTAAAGCAGCAAGGGAGGGGGTCATGGTAGCAGTAATCCCAGCACTCAGGGAGGCAGAGGCAGAAGGATCTCTGTGAGTTTGAGGCCAGTGGGGTCTATAGAGTGACCCCAGGACAGCCAAGGCTGTCTTGGAAAAAAAAAATCAAAAAACAAACAAACAAACAATGCAGCAAAGGGACTGAAATAGAAACTCGGGGAGAATTTGTAGCAGATCTGGACAGAAGTCACTTTCCTTTCTGAACTCCTGATCTTTGTTCAGGGACTAGCTGGGAGTATTTAGATAGAGTTGGTTATTAATTAATTGATTGATGGCCAAGGTAGGAAGTTTGAGGTGGGGGCTGGCAGACAGTTAAGTTAGCCTGGTAGTGGCCTAGCAGAAGGGAACAATTGGTGTTCTTTCCAGAAGAGCGAGGGCTAGGTTCAGATCAGGGAAACTGAGTCAAAGGACACTGCTGAGATGGGTTTGGGTAAGACTGGATCGGTCGCTGGGCAATGGTGGCCTTTAATTCTAGCAGAGGCAGAGGCAGGCAGATCTCTACAGAGCGAGTTCCAGGACAGCCAGGGCTACACAGAGAAACACTGTCTCTGAAAAAAAAAAAAAAAAAAAAAAAAAAGAAAACAAACAAACAAAAAAAAAACCCAAACCGAAAAAGACTGGGAGCCCAGTGTGGCTGCCAGCTCTCTTATCTCCAAAAGGGGCCATACCATGGCAGAGCTGGTGGACTTTGAACACAGTGGGTGGAGCCGAGGACACTGGAGGAATCTCTTGTTTCCTAATGAATGCTGGAATCCTGGCAGCTTCCTTCCTGGAGCAGCTCAAGAGCCCGTATGCCTACTTAGGCCTTGGGAGTGAGGAGGCTGCTTGGGAGTAAGCAGCTTGGGGGTGGCAAGCTCATTGCCTGGTACCTCCTTGGAAAATTCCAGACCTTTCTCTCCTCTCTCCCTCCCTCCCTTCCTTCACCATGTAGCCGAGGAGGTAGGAGGCCTGGTGCTCGCCGTGTGGCCCACACTGCCCCTGAACGTGTGCTCTTCTGTCTGTCTTACTTTCTAACTAAAATACAAATTCTTACTGCAGCTTTAGGGCACAGACCTGTTTCTGGGAGCCCTAACATGCTGGGCTCTAGGCCAATTAAAGAGAGCAATTAATGGGACGAGACAGAGAAAAGGGCTTTAACTAATATGATCACACTGGGATGCTTAGTGACCCCAGGTTTATCATGTCAGTTCTGATTCTGAAGGCCCCTACAAGCCCTGTTCGAGGCCACCACATGCCTTACTGTTCGCATAAATAAAAACAGACTGTGAACGAACACTTATGCACAAGTTGTTGGTTTGTTCCTTTCTGTCATCGTCGACGCAGGGTCCCACTCTGTAGCCCAGGCTGGCCCGGAACTCACAATAATTCTCCTGCCTCAGGTTTCCAATTGCTGGGATTACAGGTGCAAGTAATGATGCGTGGCTGAGGCGGGAGATTTAATTAGAAAGAAAAGCCACGGAGGAGGAGGAGACAGGAACGGCACTGGCTTGGGTGGAAGGACTCAGGTTGCTGCCAGCAGAAAGAGCGGGGTAGCAGAGAGATGGAATATGTCAATGATGAGGATAGCCTAACAAAAATCTGGTTCAAGGGAATTGATGGCCGATTTGTCCTTGGAGACATCCTGGTATTATCTACTAGATGACGAGCGAATACAGGATGGACCTTCCATCACTAGCAGCTCCAGGGCGTAAGGGCCTCCTGTCCCCAGCAGTGCCCCTATTGCTGTTTAGTTGGAAGAAGTCCATATGGCATGAGGGAGGCCTTCCCAGGAGATGAGCACTGCTCCGAGGTGAAGCCTGCCATTGGCGACGTTTGTCTTCCCGGTAGCCTGGCTTGGCTTTGATTCCTTGTTATAAGGATGCTTATCCATGAGACCTGTTCCCGAAAGCCAAGGTCAAGGTCACTGCAGGTTCAACCAACTCCTGAAGGTCTGGAGCCAGGATCCTGTAAAAGTGGGCAGTGTAAGCGCTGAGCGGTCTCTCCAGGCCCGGTGTGCCTGTTTCATGCCATTTGTAAATGCTACTCAGTAACATAGTAAGGTAAATAAAGAAGTCCCCAGAAACTGAATTCCCTTTTCCTAAGTCGTTCCTTTCGTGTGTCTGTCAGCGTTGGTATATTTTTACAAATAATGCCATGTGCACACCACAGATCTTATATGAAAGATTCGGGGGAAGGCAAGCAGAAGAGAGTTAGGGCCTGAGTGAGCCAGGCTCTGTCCCCGACAGAGAAAGGGGAGAGAGACCAAAACAACAAGGAGCAAGAGAAAGGGAGGTAAGAGGTAGAGGTCCTTTCATCCTGGGTCCGTCACCCTGTGGGTGACGGCTGATGATGACATCACAGGTGCCTAAGCAACCTAGGAGCATCGCACTGGCTCAGGGGCGGCCGAGAACAAAGAGTTTCCCTTTTTCTTTTAGGGGCCCCGACCCAGGTAAAGCCAGAGGCAGGGCAGAATTACAGAATGAGCTTGTATGAGTCGGGATTCATTCTTCAAAAGATCTTAGGGTGCTCGCTTCGGCAGCACATATACTAAAATTGGAACGATACAGAGAAGATGAGCATGGCCCCCGCGCAAGGACGACACGCAAATTCGTGAAGCGTTCCATATTAAAAAAAAAAAAAAAAGAAAAGAAAAAAGATCTTAGGGTTGATGCGATGACTCTGCAGGTAAAGGCACTTCTAATCAAGCCTGACCGCCTGAGTTCAGTCCCCGGGGACCCAACTGGTAGAGGGAGAGAACGGATTCCTGCACGCTGTGACTACGCGTGCGCACTGTGGCGCGGCTTCCTGTCAATGAATAAAAAGAAATTAGATTTTTTTGAGCTTTATTTCTTTTGTCTTATGAACGTGAGTGTTTCGTCTTCGTGTATGTCTATACACCACGTGCACATCTGGTGCTCTTGGGTGCCGGACCTGCTCACTGACTCTCCTGGAACAGGAATGGACGAGGTGGTTGTGCGCCGCCGCGTGGGTGCTGGGAACCTACTAACCCGGCTCCTCTGGAAGAGCAACAAGTACTCTTGACTACTGACCACCTCTCTAGCCCTAAAGTGTAATTTTAGAACAGAGTAATTGTTTTAAAAGAATATTTTTAAGGGTTGGAGAGGCGATTGAATCATTAAGAGCTCATATTGCCCTTCAGGCTGAACCAGAATTCAATTCTCAGCACCTATGGGTGGCTCAGAACCAGTTATGACTGTGGTATCAGGAGACACCTCTTCCCTCCATGGACACCCTGCGTTCATATGCATATACTCACACAGAGATGAACACACACATAACTTAAAACAATAGAACTTTAAAAAGATTTTAGTGAACATTTTGATCGCAGGGGTTAGGAAAAAGAGAGAGAGATGCCTGGCAAGAAAGAAAGAGCCACCTGAGAGCTGAGCGTGGGCATCTCAAAGGGGAGTTACCGTTAATTTGCAAGACGTTTTGGTGGCTTGGGAGTTAAACCTAAGGTTGCTAAGACTGCCCCTCCTCTCTTTGACAAGGGAGGCTATCAAGTAGCTTGTGAGATTCCTTGGGTAGGTAACCGGAAGTAAAACCAGGAGCCACTAGGGTTGCCCAAAAGCTTTAGGAGGGGTCTTTTTACTGTAGGTGGGGTTTCAGGTTTGGTTCTCGGGAAACTAGTTTTGTGTCTGGTAAAGGAGAAAGGTCTTAAGCAAATGCTGTTTGTTGTTGGGGCTTTTCTCTGTTCTGAGCAGGTGAGAGGCTTCAACTAGAATCCTGTGTGAGGCTCCTTTTCCCTCTCTAGTCCATAAATTCTTATCTTTCTAGCCTGTCTCAATGCATCCTTTCAGATGTTTTGTTTTGAGATATGGCATCAAGAGCCCAGGCTGGCCTCAAGCTCACTCTGTAGCATAGGTCAGCCTTAAACTCCTAATCCTTCTGCCTCCACCTTCCAAATACTGGGATTACAGGTGTGCCCTAACCTACATCCAGCTTTCCAGGACATTTTTTTTTTTTCTCTAGACTACAACCTGCCTCTGCTGACAACCTATGAAAAGCCCTTCATTTCCCTCTTCCTTTGTTCCCTCTGTCCCTTCTGTTTCTTCCCAGGAAGCAGAGATTATAGGTGTGGGTCGCAGTGCCAACCTCAACTAGCTTTTTGAAGTGTTTCTTCCTTTTTGAGACAGGACCTCACTGTGTAGCTCAGGCTGGCTGTTAAGTCGGGATCCTCCTGCCTTTATCTGTGGAGTTGCTGGAATCAGAGGCCCGAGTTGCTTGAGATTACATCCCCTCTTTTCTGGGCTGCTAGGTAGCTCATTGCATTGTCGTTGTGTAAATAACTGAAGTCAGCTGCTGGGGCCGGAGAGATAGCTCAGTGGCTAGGAATGCATACACACTGCTCACGCGGAGCACCAGAGTTTGGTCCCAGCATCCACAGTGGACGTCACTGTCTACTGAGTGCCTGTAACTCCAGCTCCAGGGGGTCCACGACCTCTTCTGGACTCCGTGGAGTCACGGAGTCCAAACTAACACCCCTTCCTGCACCTTCCCGACACACACACACACAATTTTAAAATAAAAATAAATCTTAAAAAAAAAAAAAATCCAGCCACTAATATGCTTGAGAATGTTTGCATTGGTGTAAGAACGGCAGTCATTTTGTGCTTCTGTGTTTGTGTGCTTGTGGAAACTTTAGAAAATTCATACAGGCGAGGACTGACAGGGGAGTAGACATGCTTCAAGGTTTGGTCCGTTTTACCAAACTGTCGTTTATTCAGATTGTTACACACAGTGTAAATAGTGCCCCATTATGTCTACGTTTAAAATAGTTTCTAATCTGATGGGAGAATAGTGGTGTGTGCTGGCTAGTGTCATGTCAACTTGACACAAGCTGGAGTCGTCTTAGAGGCGGGAACCTCCATTAAGAAAGTGCTTCTTTAAGACTGGGCTGCAGGTAAGCCTGTAAGGCATTTTCTTAACTAGTGGTTGATGGGGGAGAGGGCCCAGCCAGTTGTGGGTGGGGCTGTCCTGGGCTGGTGGTCCTGGGCGCTATACAAAAGCAGGCTGTGTTAACAAGCCACGAGCAAGCCAGTAAGCAGCTCCCCTCCATGGCCTCTGCATCAGAGGCCGCCTCCAGGTTCCTGCCCTGCTTGAGTTCCTGTCCTGATGTCCTTTAATGAAGGACAGTGACACAGAGTTTAAACCAAATAAACTCTTTTCTCCCCCAGTTTGATTTTTGGTCGTAGTGTTTCATCACAGCAATAGAAGCCCTAAAATATGATTCAACTGGATCCCTAGGGTTCTATGCTGAAGGGTCCCAAAGGTCCTGGCCCAGCCACCTATTGGAACGGTCAGCTGGTGGAAGACTGATTGTAAAGTCAGGGAATAAACAAATAAATATATTTCAAGACAGGGTTTCTCTGTGTAGCCAGCACTTTCCTGGAACTAGCTCTGTAGATCAGGCTGGCCTCAAACTCACAGAGATCTGCCTGCCTCTGCCTCCTGAGCGCTGGGATTAAAGGTGTGTGCTTAAGTGCAGAGCCTGAATACTCACAGCCACATTGTTCTCCTTTGATTTCTCTCTCCCACAGAGAAGCCCTGGGAGAGTATTTAGATGGAAAGAAGGAGAGTGAGGAAGAGCAAAGCAGGAGCTACAAACAGAAAGAAGAGAGCAGATTGGTACGAGCTGGTGGCAGCCGAGTCTCTTAGTCTGGTCTTCACAGCCAGGCAGGAAGGAGCTGCACCTTCTGTGTCTCTAGCTGGGGCTGAGCTGGAGTCTGTCCCATTTGGGGGTTCCCTAGGAATGAGTTCGCAGACTGTAGGTTCCTGTCAGGAAAGGTGGTACGTAAGTACCAGCATCCCCTGGAGACTGGGGCAGGAGAATTGCTGTGGCTTTAAGACTGGCCTAGGTGAGCTCTTCAACCCCCCCACCCCCCCACCGGAAGGAGCAGCCTTGCTAGGCCACAGAGGAGGACATGGCAGCCAGTCATGAAGAGACTGGCTAGCGTCAGTTGGAAGGGGAGGAGGACCTCCCCTATCAGTGGACTTGGAAAGGGGCAAGGAGGAGATGAGGGAGGGAGGGAGGGTGGGATTGAGAGGGAATGAGAGAGGGGGCTAGGGCTGGGATACAAAGTAAATAAAAAATTAAAAAAAAAAAGAAAAGAAAACCTGAATGCAAATGTAAAAAAAAAAAAAAAAAAGACTGGCCTAGGATACAGTAGGAGCCTGTCCCAAAAACAAACATGAGAAACTGGGCCTGAATGGGTGGGTGGGGGTGGCTCAGTGATTAAAGTGCTTGAGTCAAAAGCACAAGTACCTGGGTTTCAGATCCCCCAAACCCATGTAAGTGCTGAGTGGGCAGGGGGCCCGAGACAGGGATCCCAAAGCCAGCCGGCTTAGAGCTCGCCATGTAAGGCCCACGCCTTTAATCCCAGCACTCAGGGGGCAGAGGCAGGTGGATCTCTGTGAGTTCGAGGCCAGCCTGGTCTACAAAGCAAGTCCAGAATAGCCAAGGCTACACAGAGAAACCCTGTCTCGAAAAACAACACACTGTGTTGACCCGGCTGGCCTTGAAATCAGAGATGCTCTTAGTTCTGGGATTAAAGGCATAAACCAACCTGCCCAGCCTTAATTTTTTTTTATAATTACATTTCATTTCTTTATCTTATGTGACCCAGATGTGCGTGCATGGTGCATGTGGCAGTCAGAGGACAATCTGTGGGGGTTGATTCCCACAGTGTAGTTCCTGGGGGTCTTTAGGTTTGGCAGCAAGGACCCTTTCCCAGGGAGCCAACTCACCAGCCCTCTAAATTCTTCCCACATTGTTCTAGCTTCACAGATTCTCATTTCTTTGTTTTCCAGAAACTGACTAAATTGTTGCTTTGTGGTACCGAGTTGGTGACAAATATCCAGGTGGCCACAGACATCAGAGAGATCCGTAGGAGGGTTGAAGAAGAAGAGATAAAGCGCCAGAGGTGAGCCGTGAGCTGCGCTTGCGCACTGCCGACGTGCCTGTCCGTCAGTCCTCAGGATGAAACTTTGTTCAACTTAGTCTCGTGGAATCCCCTTCCTGCTCCTTACGAGTTCCCCACCCTCCTGCCTCCAGCCTGAGTCCCAAGCCGGCGTGGGTGTAAAAGGAGTACAGCCAGCCCCCTGCCTCAGAGCAGCACGGGACTCTCAAACTTGGTTCGTCCTAAAACTGAGCGGGTAAAGGACCGCAGGAGGCCACACGAGGGGGCTTTTGGGTTTCTCTGCGGAGTTCGGAGGAGGCGCATTAGGCAGAGGTGCGCCGTCTCGGAACGTGCTTGGGAGCGGCGGGTGTGGCTCCCAGGGTGCCGACAGCCCCAAGGATGACTCCTGCAGGCTTGTCGGGTAGGAGTTGCTGACAAAGCATAGGATGACTACGGTAGGGAAGGTGGGGACGGGGGAGGGGCTACACGTCCCTGAAGTCAATACCCTCCTTTGCCACACAAACTCCTCGATGGCTCTGAAGCTGCGGCAGGATTGATGGAGACCTGGCCTTGGAGCGCCCCCTAGTGTTTCATCCGCAGAGGCGACTCTTAGATGAGGCAAAGATAAAAACCGAATTTAGTGACCCTCTGTGAAGAAAACACCGGGCTTTCTTCCTCTTCTTATCTGGCCTTCTCCGGTCTCGGCAAACACGCTGGGGAACAGTGTGGCTTGTCTTCTGCAGTCTGGCACACCAGGAAACATGATAGTGAAGATTTGGAAAGGCCCAAAACAAAACTAAACAACTGAGAAGCTCCATATCTCAATCAGTGATACAGAGACTCACATATGTATAGCATAGAAAAGAAAAATTGTAACAGGTACTGTGTGCAATAGGTACAGTGGGGGGGATGGGCTGGGATTAGAGGGCGTTTATATTGTGGCTCCTGTCACTAAAGGAGTTTGTGGCTGGTCGCACGCCTGTGATCTCAGGAGGCAGAGGCAGGCGGATCTCCGTGAGTTCGAGGCCAGCCTGGTCTACAGAGTGAGTTCCAGGACAGCCGGGGCTACACAGAGAAACCCTGCCTCGAAAAACAAAACGAAGAGGCTTGTGTGCTCTTGTTTGGTGACAATCACATGGAGCTGCAGGCCTTCACTGGTGTGGTCCCGGCCGCCATCTTTCAGAGGAGCTCCTGCCTCAGCTCTTACGCCTTCCTCTCGGCCACGTCCTCAGTGTACCCCCTCCCCGGGGCTGCTTTTCTGTTACCGATGACCGGAACTTCCTTCCTGTCTTGTCCATCCCATTAGTCTAGCTAGGGAGGGAGAACCAGACATCGGAGACTCTGAACGGTAGCACTTGGGATGGGGCTGCCCGGTCCTGAGCGCCCCCAAACAGTGTGTCATTTTATGAATCCTAGCAACAGGTGTGCAAAGGTCACCGGGGCAAGTGCTTCGTCCTCTCCAGTGCCCAGGGGAGAAAAGCGAAGCTTGCAGAAGTTGGGTGGCTTGTCTTGAGGCCACTCACGGTGAGGTCAGGATGTGGGTCTACGCTCTTGGTAACAACCGCAGCGTGTCACCACCCACCATCGGGGCCGGCTCCATGCGTGTGCATGGACGCACTTTTCTGTCCACATCGGGGTTGTAGTTTATGAGGGAGAGGTTTTGTGTGAGTCTCTTGTCTGGATGCTTTGGCAAAACACCCGACAAGATCAGCTTAGAGAAGGGAGGGTTTATTTTGGCTCACAGTTTGGGGTCACAGTCCGTCGTGGCACATGGAAGCCGTGCCAGCAGGAGCTCGAGGCCACCGGCCACACTGCATCTGAGGCCAAAAGGTAGAGAGATGCATGCTGGCGCTCCGCTCCGCTGCTGTCCTCAGCCTCGGCCTTCAGCCTCTGCGTTGGTGTATTTAGAGCTGGTTTTCCCACCTCAGCTGACCTAATCTTGAGACACGCCCTTGCAGCCATGCCTAAAGGTTTGTTTCCCTGGGGATCCTAAACTAAATTTCAATGTAGATCTGAGTATGGGCGTTAAGAGAGTGGGAGAGGTGGAAAGAGGGTCTCTGTGCTTTAGTGTATGGGTTTGCTGCTGGTCTTTCTTGGCAGGTGCTTGGTGTAAGTTACTTGGGGTGAAGCATTAAACCAAGAGAAAGGCTGTGGGTAAAGGTGCTCGCCGAAAGGCTGACAAACTGGGTTCCGCCCCGAGACCCACACGGTGGAGGCAAAGAACTGACTTCTTCAAGCTGCCCTCTGTTCTCTACACACAGGCTGTGGCTTGTGCACACACATACACAGACACACTAAATAAGCAGCATGTAGTACCAAGTTAAGCTTAGAGTACTCTTCCCCTGGGTGAGAGTCTGGACCACGGAGCCTATGTCACGCGCTTAGGAGAAGCCATCTCTGGAAGGCAGGACCTGGGGCACCCAGCATGTTTTCTCTTTGCAGACTGGAGAAGTTGGAGAATGAAGTCAAGACCAGCCAGGACAAATACGAGGAGATCTCGGCGAAGTGGGATGATAGCAAACAGAAGCGGATTCCCCAGCAGCTGTGGGAGTTGCTCACGTCCCAGCAGCTGCACTGTGCTGGGCTCATAGAAGACAAGAACAAGCTGATCAGCGACCTGTTGCAGGTAAGCCCCCACCCCCACCCCCCCACCCCCCGCACGGAGGCCAGCCTCCATCCTGGCTGAGGGGGGTGTGGCCTGGCGGTCCTTGGCGGTTCCTGCCTTACTTTATCACCCAGCATGTGAGAGAATTCAAGCCAGGAGTGGTGCTATGCACCTTCAGTCCTGGCACTTGGGAGGCTGATGCAGGAGGAGAGGACGTTCAAGGCCAGATGGGTTACAGCAATGAAATGATATTGAAAAAAAAATCCACCTGATCGATTTTCATGCTGAGCTGAACTCCTAACCTATCATGCATGCCAGCTCTCTCAGGTAGATAGTTCCCAGTTCTGTTGACTTTTCCTGTGTGCTCCTCTTTGTTGACTTATCCTGTGTGTGCCTTTTTACTCTGCTGACTGATCCTGTGCGTGCCCCTTTATTCTGTTGACTGCTTCTTTAAACTCAAGGTTTTGAGTCCCATTTGTCTATTTTTGGTTTTGTTCCTACTGCAAATCTAGTATCCCAAGGCTTTTCCTGTTTGCTTCCAGGCACTTGCTGTTCTAGGCTCTGCCTTTTTAAGTTTTTATTTCGTTTGAGTTAATTTTTTATGACATAAGGGGAGAGCACTGTTTTATATTTTATATGGGAAATCCCCTGCTATTTCAACAATGCTTCTCTTTTTCTTTGTTTATTTTATGTGTATTGGTGTTTTGCCTGCATGAAATTCTGTGTGAGGGTGTCAGATCTTGGAGTTACAGACAGTTGTGAGCTGCCATATGGGTGCTGGGAATTGAACCTGGGTCCTCTGGAAGAGCAGTCAGTGCTCTTAACCACTGAGCCACCTCTCCAGCCCCCTTTTTTCTTTTCTTTTTTCCTTTTTTCCTTCCTCCCTTCCTTCCTTCCTTCCTTCCTTCCCTCCTTCCTTCCTTCCCTCCTTCCTTCCTTCCTTCCTTCCTTCCTTCCTTCCTTCCTTCCTTCTTTCCTTCCTTCCTTCCTTTCTTTTATTTTCAGTTTCTGGAGACAGTCTTATGCAGTCCAGGTTGGCCTTGAACTCAGTCTGTAATTTAGAATGACCTTGGACTCTAACCCTCTGGCCTCTGCCTCCTAAGAACTGAGGTTGCAGGCATGTATCATTGCATTGGGTTTCTGCAGTGCTGTGGACCAAAGCTAGGACCAACTGCACGCTAAGTGAGCGCCTTACCAACTGAGCTGCGTCTCTGGCTCCAATAGCATTGGAAGGACTCTCACCATATATACTTCGGAGCTGTGAAGACTATATTGGGTCTGTGTGAGGGAAGTAGCTCAGTGGTAGAGTGCTTGCCTAGCATGCACCAAGCCCTGCCATGCACTGCCTGCCTTTGCCTGCCTAGTGCTGGGGTTTAGAGGTAGATGCCACCACATCTGATCTCTTTTTTTCAAACCAAGTCTTGCTCTATGGGTCAAGCTGGCCTTGAGCTCACCATGAAACCTAAGGTGGCCTCAGACTCCCTTAGTAACCAAGCCTGACTCAGATTCACAGTCCTCCTGTCTTGAGGCCCTTGCCCTTATGCCTGGCTCGATTTCTAGTGTTTACAGATTTGGGTGCGAGGTGGTCTGTTGGGTGTGCTTGAGACTTGTTGCTTCTGTCTCTGTTTCTGACTGATTCTGTTCTCTTCTCAAGGAGCTAAAAATAAAAGATGACCAGTACGTAAAGGACCTGAAGAAACAGTCAGATGATATCAGCCTGCTTCTGGAGAGGATGGAGGAGCAAGTGAAAAACGTGACAAAGAACTTCCGCCAGGAGCTCTTTCTCATTGAGGTGAGGGCTCATGGTGATAATGGCTCCTGTCCTGACAGTCTGAGGTGCCCCTCCCCCCACCCCGCTCCATCCTTTGATCTCTGTCTCTGATTTTAGCGTTTATTTGCCCATTCATTCATTTATTCAACAATAGTCAAGTGTTAATGTATGCTGGGTACTATTCCAGGAAGAGGAGAGATGGCCATGAACAAAACAGAGCCCCCACTGGAGCCTGCGTTCTCACGGAGACAGCTAGAACTAAACATGTCAATTCCTAGGTGTAGAATGTGGCTGGTGCTAATAAGTATTGTGAAAGAGCAGACAGGGTGGAGGGCGTGCAGTCAGTTTTCCGTCACTGTGACAAATCCCTGAACAAAAGCTTAAAGGGAAAAGCCTCGCTTTGGCTGGTGGGTTTAGAATGTGTCATGATAGGGAGGGCACAGGGCAGGAGCAGTACATGCTGTAAGGCAGGAAGCAGAGAGGATTATGCCTATGCTAAAGGGTGTCCTTCTCCCACTTTATTCTACCCAGATCTGTTGTTGAAGGGGGATATTAGACTCTGGATAGCTTCTCTACCAGGGCTAGTTCCCAAATAATTGACACAGAGAGACCATAATTTATGTTATAAGCATAAAGCACTAAAACTGGGAAGATATCAACCCTCTAGGCTGTTTTCCCATCTCCCAGCTACACACCCGAAGTTATTTGCCAGTTGTCATCCTGTCTGGGCTGGATCTGCTCCATCACTCTGTCCTCATGGTCCATTCTGCCCCATGGCAACTTCTTTCTCTCCAGCTTCCTGTCTCCTCTCTTTCACTTCATGGTCTCTCCCAGACCCCTAGCTTGAGAATCCCACCTAGCTCTCTTCTGCCCAGCTCAGGCTGCCAGCAACTTTATTAACCAATCAGGGATAATTGGGGAGCAAAGTAACACAGCATAACTTGGTATACATAAGAATGTGCTTGTCTGGGCTGTAACCAGATCTTGGGGATCAGTAATTAACAAATATCCTAGCAGCACCAGACCAACTCCCAACAATCCCTCCCTTTTTGTCTAACAAAAAGGCTCTTTTTCTTACAATAAAAAACTACATACAGTAAGAACAAATATGAAACAATTATGAAAACTATCATGTAGTAATTACACTCACAATGTCTAGTCCACTTGTATTTGGAAACTTAGGAGAAAGTACTATTTATCCTGTCTTGCTGAGTTTATAGTTTTGCACCCAAATTATTTTCTATCATAGCTTGTATTTAACAATATAAAATTTTTATTTAGACCTAAAACCTTTTCTAAATTCTATCAAATTAAGCCTAATTTTGAGACTAAGCTATTTAGTCCTTAACCCCATCAGAGACCTGAGAAGGAAATAATATTGAATTATCAGGAAGTACAGGAGAGCAGCTTCTAAAACTATAGAAATGACAGAGTCAGCTAGCTGCCTAGAGGGCTACCCAAAAATCTCTCTATAATGTTAGAGCATCGTCTTCAGCCTTCTGGCCCAGTATATCTGTCAGGCTTATTTGTGAAACAGGAACTATTTGTGAAGAAGGACTTGCTTACCCTGTCTTGTCAGAGCTTGGCAATCGGCTTCCCTGCCTCCAACTTTGCCCATTTTGAAGTCATCTTGTCTGCAGGGGAAATAGGGCATTTCTTTGGCCACATTAGAAACCATCTCCTAAGAAGATCCTTTGATGCTCATCATCTTCTATTCAGGGTCCTAATCTTATGTGCCACCCACACTCAGGATGGCTTTTTTTTCCTTAGTCTCAGACTGTCCAAGAGGTGTGTCCAAAGCAGTGTTACCGTGCTGTGGGTGAGGGAATATGTTTGTACTCCAGAACCATAGTTGAACAGAGCTGTTTATTTGCTGGTACATGGCTGGTGATGTGAGGGGACGGGAAGTGACAAGTAGGAATCAGGGATCAGTACCTTGAGTTTGAATGACTCTTTCAAGATTAATATTGGGTTTTAGGTCTTCCAAAAATGGAAGAGAGAAAGGAGGGCTGGGCCTTCTCCTGATTGTCATTCACTTCACTTCTGTATGCTGTCTTTGTTTCATGGGGCCCAGCCATGACAATGCTAGTCAAGGTTGAGGTACATGCCTGGGTTTGCTCAGTGGATACTAACTAGGGAGATTTTCTGTCTCCAGTACTGGGCCCCTGATAGATTAATCCAGTGGTTCTCAACCTGTGGGGTCAAATGACCTTTTCACAGGGGTCGCATATCAGATCTCCTGCATATCAGATATTTACATTATGATTCACAACAGTAGCAAAATTGTAGTTCTGAAGTAGCAATGAACTAATTTTATGGTTGCTCACCACAACATGAGGGACTATGTATCAAAGGGTTGCGGCGTTGGAAGGTTGAGAACCACTGGACTAAGCTATGGAACTCTGGGCACACGCTTCCTCTCAGAATTTATTAGACATATACATTTGCTAACTCCCAAGCAACTATTTCAGAGCCGTTTGGCCACATGAGATTTGGCAAGCTTATGTTTGTTTGTGACTTCATTGATCTGCGTGGCTTTGTCTGTGTGACCAGGCACTTGTGTTACCTAAAAGTTCTTTGGTACTGGTGGGCCTCCCTCAATGGAGGCAGACACGAGACCTTTTCTGTCTTGGTTGTAGAAAGCCTTTGAGTTAGAACGGCAAGAGCTGCTGAACAGTAATAAGAAGAAATGGGAGCGAGCACTTCAGGCTCACAATGCCAAGGAGGTAAAGGGGTGGTTGGGTCGTGGGAGGGGTATCCAGGGTGACCTGTGGGCAGTACAGCTGGGCCTTGAGCCCCAAGCACCTTGGTGTCTTGAGTTAGGACTTGCGTGGCTCGTGTTCCTCCCGTGCTTCATTTCTCAGTGTGGCTTTGAAGGTTGAGTAAATCTGATGGATAGATAACAACCTTGCAGCTTGCTGACTCCACCCCAATCATAGTATTTTTGGCCCAAGACAGTGTTTTTATTTTACTTTTTTTTTTTTTTTTTTTTTTGAGAGAGAGAGAGGGTCTCATGTAGCTCAGGCTGGCCACAAACTTTCTAAATATTCAAGGATGACCTTGATCATTTCTTTCTCCTTCTGCCTGCCTCCGTTGAGTGCTGGTGCCTCAGCTGTGCAACATTTCATCCAGTCTATGAAGCACTATGGGTCCAGCAAGGGTTTCCCTTGTGCGTGCTAAGCGAGATCTCTTCCAGCTGTGCCACCTCCCCAGCTCAGGGAACTTTTAAGACACACTTTACTTAATTATTGTTATTATTATTACTATTATTATTATTATTATTATTATTATTATTATTATTATTATTTTGTTTGAGACGGTCTCACTATGTAGTCCTGGCTTTCCTACAACTCTCTATACAGAACAGGCTGATTTTGAACTTGTGAACATGCTTCTGCCTGTTGATTATTGGGGCTGCAGGCGTATAAAGTCTAATCTTAAGACACATTTAAAGATAGCATGGGAATATTGTGTCAATTTTATTTCATATGTACAAAGAACAAAGAAGTGACACAAGTAAGGCACATTATTATTGTTGTTATTATCATTTTGCAGTATAAAGGCTAGATTATAAAGTGTGTTTAATTTCTTTTGAAAAATTACTTTTTGGCTAAAAAGATCTTTTTTAAAAAAAAAAAAGAAAAATGTGTAAGTATGTGCGTGTCTGTGAATGTGTGTGTGAGTTCACAGAGCCAGAAGAGGGCAGTAGATCTTCTGGAGCTGGAGTTACAATCATGCAGAGCCATGTGGGTGCTGGGAACTGAACTCTGGTCCTAGTAGGAGCACTATTCTCTCTTAAGAGCAGAGCCATCGTGCCAGCCCCTGTTTAACTTCTTGACAGAGGGCCTTCCTGTAGCTTCTACAGTTAAGAACCTAGCTAAGGCTCCCAGGACTCAAAGCCCTGGCGCGTGGGCCTTTGGATGCCTGTCCGGGCACTCCCGGGCCTGGAAGACGGAGTTGGGCGGGAGGCCCCTAACCCGGCTGTCTGCCCCTCTTAGTTGGAATACCTCATCAGCCGCATGAAGAGAGTGGAGGAGTACGAGAAGCAGCTCAACAAACAGCGGGCCTGGGACTGCGAGGAGTACAACACCATCAAGATCAAGCTGGAGCGGGACGTGCAGGTAAGAGCGCTCCCCACCCTGGGACCAGGTGGCCGGTAGGTGGCAAATGTCTCTGAGTGTCTTAACTTAGCTATTAACCCACAGTGTGTCAGAGGCAGCCATCCACTGTATAGGATATATCCGCTTTCTTTTACTTTTCTTTATTTTTTTAATTTTTAAATTTTTTTATTATTTATTATAATTTATTCAATTTGTATCCCTGCCCCCTCCCTTATCTCCTCCCAATCCCACCCTCCCTCACTTTTCTCCTTCTGTGTTTCTTCCCCAGTCCACTGATAGGGGAGGTCCTCCTCCCCTTCCATCTGACCCTGGCCTATCAGGTCTCATCAGGATTGGTTACATTGTCTTCTTCTGTGGCCTGGCAAGGCTGCACCCCCTCCCCCGGGGGTGGTGGTCTATTATTATTATTATTATTATTATTATTATTATTATTGTTGTTGTTGTTGTTGTTGTTGTTGTTATTATTGGCAGGGATAGTGTCTAATGTAGCCCAGACTGGTCTTGAACTCTCTGTGTAGCCAAGGATGACCCTGAACTGCTGATCTTTTTATTTCTAGCTTTTAAGTGCTGGGAGTTGCAGGCAGTTGTGAGCCCCCATGTGTTGGGAATAGGACACACACAGGTTCTCTGAAAGAGCAGACAGTGCTCCAACGATTGAGCCAGCTCTCTCCAGCCCATTAGCTTAATGCATTTTTTTAAAAAAAATCAATTATTTGCAAACCTTGGGCAGAGTTTTTGTTTGGTTGTTGTTTTTTTTTTTTTTTTTTTTCTGAGGCAGGGTTTCTCTGTGTAGCCATGGCTGTCCTGTAACTCACTTTGTAGACCAGGCTAGCTTTGAACTCATTGAGACCCACCTGTCTGTCTCCTGAGTGATGGGACCAAAGGTGTGTGCCACCATGCCTGGCTTAGTTTAACTCTTAATGAAGGAAACAAGTGCTTCTGTTTTAGATTGCTCATGCTTCATCCATCCATCTCTCCATCTATCCATCTTTCTATATCTATCTATCTATTATCTATCTATCTATCTATCTATCTATCTATCTATCTATCTATCTATCTATCATTTGTCTATTTAGTCTATTATCTATCTATCTATCTATCTATCATTTGTCTATTTAGTTTATCATCTATCTATCATTTGTCTATTTAGTCTATCATCTATCTATCTATCTATCTATCTATCTATCTATCTATCTATCTAGTCTCATCTACTGTCCTGGGGATTGAATTTAGGGCCTCATGCACATGAAGTGAATGCTCTACCACTGAGATACATCCCCCCCCCCATTTTTTTTTAACTTTTTGAGATAGTCTCAGGTTGCCCAGGCTAGCCATGAAGTCACCCTGTAATCCAGGCTGGCTTTGAAACTGTGACATGGCTGCCTTAGCCTCCGGAGTGGCTGAGGTTGTAGGCCTGTGCCACCAGGCCCAGCTGGTCCATGTTCATTTAAAATCATAAGCCCAGTTCTCACAAAGAGCTGCTGTCTTTAATACAGCATCTTTAATAAGATGTTAACCACAAAACATTGACTGTGCTGGGTACAGTGGCAGTTAATGCATGGCTGAGGAAGGAACCGAAGGTGTGATGGTTCATGCCTGAATTTATGAGGTGGAGGCAGAAGGATTTGCAGTTCTAGGTCACCTTTGTCTACATAGGGCGTTGGAGTCCAGCCTAGGCTCATAAAACAAGCGAACAAGCAACCATAATCTATACTGAATATATAGCAATCAAGGATGGTTTCGTTGAGACTAAAACCTGAGATAATGGACAGTGGGGTGCTGGTGCTAAAGTTATGCTAAGCATAAAGAGAGAAAAACCAGCTGTGTAAACCATATCCTTGTGCCCTGCAGAGGTGGACTGCGGGAGACATGGGTTTCTGGGAGTTGTGTGGGATCCTTGGCTACACTGCCAGCAACCCCTCTTGGACCCCAGTGGGCACTGCCTTGCTTCTGAGATCTGCTGAAGCCCAGTGGGCTCGGGGCTGGTGCTGCACACTCAATACACTGGCACTGGTCTCTGGCATTTCTCTCGAGCCAGACCAGGAGCATTTGTTTGCCGCAGAGGAAACAAAAATGGCTAACCAATAGTCAAATACGTACGTGCAGAGATGCAAATCAAAAATCAAAACAATCAGATGCCGGGCTGCTGTGGTTTACTTGGGTGGGTCTGGTTGCTTGGGACTTTGCTTATAAATCAGCATATAGTTAAATTCTTGCAGATTGCGAAGGAAAAACCTGGCTCAAGTCCTTCAGATCCAAGGTTTCTGCACTGTGTTCAGTGAAGTGAGATGCTGGAGGTGGTTCACAAAGCTAGCAATGTGGTACTCAGGGCTGGGAGAGGGCTCGGGGGTTAAGAGCACTTGCTGCTCTTGCAGAAGACCTGGCCTTGGTTTCCAGCATTCCATGTGGTGGCTCACAATTGCCTGGAACTCATGCTCTGGACTTCACCTGCCCATGGTACACATACATACATGCAGTCACTCACATACCCATAAAAAAGGTGGTACTGGAAATGTTCCTCTGTGTGTGTGTGTGCGCGTGCCATAATATAGCTATAAAGGTCAGAGGGCATGTAGGATAAGAAATGACTTCCAGAAGTTCTTTCTCTCTTTCCACAATCCCCTCTATCCTTAAGTATATCTTAGAGTATGGCTTAGCGGTACAGTGATCACCTCGTATGGACAAGGCCCTGGATTTGATCTCCAGTACTGTTTTTTAAAAATCTTTTTGTTTGTTTTTTATTCAAGACAGGGTTTCTCTGTGAGCCTTAGCTATGGCTCACTTTGCAGACCAGGCTGGCCTCAAACTCACAGAGATCCACCTGCCTCTGCCTCTCAGAGTGCTGAAGTTACAGGTGTGTGCTTCTGTGCCGGGCCAATACCATTCTTTTTTTTTTAAGGAAGGCAAAATTTTTTTTAATATATATAGAAAAATACATTTCTGATATAGTCTTCCTTTAAGAATGATATTTGTAGCTGGGCTGAGGTGGCACATGCCTTTAATCCCAGCACTTAGGAGGCAGAGGCTGGTAGATCTCTGTGAGTTTGAGGCCACCGTGGTCTACAAAGCAAGACTAGGACAGCCAAGCCTACTCAGAGAAACCCTGTCTTGAGAAAGAAAAAAAGAAAGAAAGGGAAAAAAAGGAAAGAAAGACGCAAACAAGCAGGGTGGGATGTTGGAACATTGTCTGGCCATGGATGCTTGCCTGGCATGTGACACGCCCATGGCCAAGTTCTTATGGTGTATTTGTAGAGATTATGTTTGGTGTGGTGGCTCATGCCCATAATCCCAGCACTTGGGAGGCTGAGGCAAGTGGGTTCCTGTGAGTCTGAGGCCAGTCTGGCTTATGTAGTGAATTTTAGGTTGGCGTGAGCTGAAAAATGAGACACTGTCTGAAAAACAAAAGACTCCATGCTTTATATGCAATTTATCCTAGCGTTATTTTAATAGTGAAAAATGATCAAAACAGCACTTAAATCTCTAAGAGAGTGGTAAACTGTTAGTGTTACTTTTAAAATTGTGAAATTTGCAGTTTCTCTCTTAGCTGGGCTTGCACTCAAACATTTGAGACTGAACTACTCTATTTGTTTCTTATACTTATGGTAAACAATTGAGCAGTACTAGTCTATTTTGAACCATGTAAACTAATTTGCCAAAATTCCTGAGATCCTTGCATTTTATGGCTTTTCTGCTCCAACTGCTCTTTGCTCATGATGTCTCCTAGATCTCTGTACAGAGCTGAATCCCTCACTTCTTCTCCCTATCTCCTCCTCCCCTGGCAGGAAATAGGCAGGAAATCCAGCCCTATTCTCTCCCCTGCTCAGAGATTGGCTGTTAAGCTGCTTTATTGACATATCAGGGGACATTTGGAGAGCAAAATTTAGACAGGAGATTCTCAGAACAAGAATTACAACCAGATATGGGCACACGCCTGCAATCCCAACACTCTGGGAGGCAGAAGCAGGGGGCTCTCTGTGAGTTTTGAGACCAGCCTGGTCTACAAAGTGAGTCCAGGACAGCCAAGGCTACACAGAGAAACCCTGTCTTGAAAAAAACGAAGAAAAACAACAGCAGCAGATATGGGGCACAGGAATAAGCATTTGAATCCTTACACAGTGCACAATAACATTAGGCCTACAGTGAGCAGTATGGTCACGGCAAACAGCTATTAACTATGTGATAAAAGAACGTATAAGATTATTTTGTACTGTTATTAATAAAATTTTATGGAGGAAAGAAGATTTTTTTTTTTGTCAATACCGATATTCCTCGTATTACTTAAAATATTATTTTAAGTTACGTGTGTGTGTCTGTGTTTGTGTCCCTGTCTGTGTGTGTCTGTTAGGTTCGGGCATGTGAGTGAAGGTACCTGTGGAGGCCAGAGGTCTCTGGCTGCGTCTGACTGCCCTGGAGCTGGATGTACAGGCAGGTGTAGGCCACTTGACTTGGGTGCTGGGAACTGAACTCTGGCCCTCTGCTCTCTCCAGCCCCGCCCCCACCAACCTGGCTTTGTCACCTGCCAGCTAGTTCTCTTTGGGGAGGGACCCAAGAGGCATTGTAATAACTTGAAAGAAACCTGCAGTCTAGGGGAGAGGCAGGAAGGCGGCTTTGGGGAGGACGCATGTCAAATCGCCCCCTTCTCCTCAGAAGAGGATCACTCTAGCATCTGTATTTGCCATTTCTTCTGCCTCTCTTTCTCTCTAATCTTTAAAAAAAAGTAAATAATTAGCCGGCCCCGGGGAGATGGCTCAACCAAGAAAGTGCTCACCTGCCACCCTGCCACATTAAAAAGCTAGATATGGTAGCATGTCCCTGTAACTCCAATATCAGGGTAATGGAGACAGGGGGAGCCCTGTGGTTCACTGGCCGGCCAGCCTAGCCGACTCAGCGAACTCCAAGTTCAGTGCCTCAAAAAATAAGGTGGAGAGCAATTGAGGAAAAACCCCGATGTCACCCTCTTGCCTCCACACATGGCGCCCACACGCATGCAGTCCTGCACACACATATGAGCACACATTTGTACACAAATGAATGAATTTGTTGAGGATTTCACCACGTGGGGCAGGCTGGCCTGGAACTCACAGACCCTCTGCCTTGGCCCCTGAGGGTTCTGATTGCAGGTGTGCGCTATCAGGTCCAGCCTCTCCAGTCACTTCCCCACAAGCTGGTGGAGTAACCTTTCCCCTGGGCTCCTGAGTGATGTTTTAAATCCTCAGCTTGGTGAGGCTCAGGCCGCCTCATCCACAGTCACCCTCGCCTGGCGCCTCAGAGCCTCAACTGCTTGTGCTTTCTCCGGAAACCCCGCCCCCTCACCTCTGTGTCCCACAAGCCATTTCCTCTCCCCCAGAGCTTGCAGTTCTCAGTGTCACCTCACCAACTCCTATTCATCCAAGGCTCAGCAGTCATGAGGATACCACCTCCTCAGGGCTGCTTCCTGGTCCTTCAAGGCCAAGGGATTCTTTCTGATGGAAGAAGCAAAGTGTGTGTGTGTGTGTGTGTGTGTGTTTTCCCAGCCAAGACAGGGTTTCTCTGTGTAGGTTTGGCTGTCCTGGACTCACTTTGTAGACCAGGCTGGCCTCGAATTCACAGCGATCTGCCTACCTCTGCCTCCCGGAGTGCTAGGATTAAAGGCGTGTGCTACTGCGCCTGACTTGCTTTGAGCTTCTGAAACGTGTGGGGTCTTAGACCTCGACGGAGGCTATAACTTTTCAGTAGTGGTTCCTCAGAAGCTTCTAGAAAGATGCCTGCCATGTTAGTCAATCAGTACACAGAGATGCTGGTCCCCTCTCTCCACCCTCATCATGGCACAATGCAAACAGGCTGGCCCACGTTACCACCCCGTGGAGCTACCGGCCAGCATGCCTTCCACCACAAAGGGCTGACGCCTTTCTCTCTTGAACAAACAACAACGCCTGCTCTTTTTAAATGAACATGGGTTCCTTTCCCCTGATACTGCTGCTCTGGAAAGCAAAATCGCGGACCTTTCGAGGTTTTGCGGTAATATTATTTTACGGTGTCTTTAGAGGCAGCCTTTCATTGCCATGAAAGGGGTTGGAGCGCCAGGGTTAGCTGCACTTGAAAATTCTGGATGCACTCTTCTCTCCTTGAGAATGCAGGGTAAGCTGCCGGATGACTGATCTGTATTTTGTCCATTCTTTATTTTGCCTCTATTGACAGTTCTTTCTTTATTGTCTTCTGGATTTATTGATTGATTGATTGATTTTTGTGTTTGTTTCTGTGTCTCTGTACATATGCATGTGTGTGCCTACAGAGGCCAGAAGAGCACGTTGGACCCCCTGCCCAGCGAATGTGCTGGAAACCCAGTTCCAGTCCTCAGTAACCGCAACAAGCACCCTTAGCCACTGAGCATTTGCTTCCGCCCTGTGTTGATAGAACTTCTAACTCCGGTTGAGGCACCTGCCCCTGGGATCCCTCTACAGCATGATCTGAACAAGCCATGAAGGTCCTCAGGGCGTGTATGCATGCGTGTCTATACGTGTGTATGCATGCATGCATGTACACATGTGTTTATTTACTTCTAAAATTCCCACCAGATTCTTGAGCAACAACTTCAGCAGATGAAGGCAACTTACCAGCTAAACCAAGAGAAGTTGGAGTACAACTTCCAGGTGCTGAAGAAGAGAGATGAAGAGAGCACAGTGATCAAGTCCCAGCAGAAGAGGAAACTCAACCGGTGAGGGAGCGAGGGGTGAGCGGGCGGGCGGGTGCAGCAGAGTGGGTAGAGTGGCTTGCTTTCCACCCTCTGTGCTGCCTTCAGGGATGGGGAAGTGCTTTTCCCACTCCCGAACCGGGAGAAAAGGTCAGGAGGGTGGCGGGGGCCACCTTCGTCCATCGGCTTAGCTGCCCCGCTCTGCTTTCCTCCTCTCAATCAGCCTACACGATATCCTGAACAACCAGAGAACCAAATACGCCAAGCAGATAAAGCAGTTTCAGGAGGAGAACCAGAGTCTGATCGCAGACTACAAACGGCTCGTGACGCAGTTCCAGGACCTACAGAAAGCCATGAGGTGTGGGGGGTGGGGAGGCGAGCCCTCAGGACTGTCCTGGAGTGGGCGTGATGGTGGGGGGGAAGAGGGAGAGAATTGGCAGTGATGCAGCAGCAGCGATTTCCTTAGATCTGAGATCACCGGCCCTTTCGGAGGCAGCCTAGGATTCTGAGGACTCCTGCATGTGTCGCTTGTCCGATTTTGTTTCTTGCTGGGACAGCTGTGTTTTCTCTCAGTGCTGGGGTTCTGAGATTCTTCCTCAGGTTCTCATCCTATTTGACAAGTGGGGGCGGGGCGGGGGCACTGGGGCCAGGCCTTGAGGTCAGCTGGCTGTGCTCAGTGACTTTTCTTGACAGACACTTCGCCATTATCGATGAGGAGAAGTTTCGAGAGATCTGGTTGATGAATGAAGAGGAGGCGAAGGCGCTGGCGCAAAGAGCCTTTGATGTGGACAATGTCATTCATTCCCAGCACCTGGGGCTGCCCTGGAAGATGCCCGACTACTGGTTCCTGAAGAACGTGGGGCCAATTTTCTTTCAGCAGCAGAAGTCAGCCACACAAATCCTAGAAGAGCTGCTGCTGCAGACAGGTGACTAGAAACAGAGTCGTTGAGATGTAGGGTGGAAGAAGGTACATTAATCACAGTTGGTTAAGGCACCCATGTTCCATGGGAACAGGAGATGCTGAAAGGTTCAGTGGGTAAAGGAGCTTGCTGCCAAGCTTGACATCTCCAGTTCAAACCCTAGAACCCACATGATAGAAGCAGAGAACTGACTAGTGCAAGAGGACCTCTGACCTCCACATGTGTGCCCACACATACAAGAAATGAAAACACACACACACTTTCCCCCCAGTTTTTGTTTGTGGTACCCAGCGCCTCACCTGTTGGGCATGCTCTGAGGTCACTGCGTTTTATCTACAGCCCTCGCTTTATTTACAGTTCCTTTGGAGGTTATCTTAGGTAGTAAAAACTCCCTTCTTTTTCCACATGGCGCTGTCTTGACTCTGTGCCTGTAGTCACTCAAAGAGCCCTCTGAGCATCACTGGACTGTAGCTAGTTTGTTCATCTTGGGGATTACACCTGCTGCTGAATGAATAGTCTTGTTCATTTGTCTCTTCATTTTCTTTGTTGGAAAATCCCTACAAGCAGATTTGCCTGGCTAAAGGGCCTTGGTTATCCTGTTAGAAATCACTAGAGCTGTTTTCATTTCCATGTTCTCAACAATGTATGCTATCTTGGGCTTTCAGTGTTTCTCATGTGGCTCAAGCTGGCCTCAAGCTTGCCTCAAACTCTATGTAGCCAAGGCTGGTCTTGAAATTCTGATGTTCCTGCCTCTCACTTCCAAGTTCTAGGATTACAGGAATGCACCAGCTCATAGATATTATCATATCCTTTGAATAACCAGTAAGTCTTGGGTAATACATGATTTTTAAAAAATATTTATTTTTGTGTGTGTGTGTGTGTGTGTGTGCGCGCGCGTGTGCGCGCGCACGCGCACATATGTGGGTCAGAGGGCAAGTTGCAGGAATTGGTTCTCTCCATCCACCACGTGGGTCCCAGCTCAGGGTGTCAGGCTGGCGTCAAGTACCTTTACTCACTGAGCCATCTTACCAGCCATTCTATGATGATTTTAACTCCTGTTTTCTGATTAATTAACAAGGCAAAACATTTTTAATTTTTAAATTGTTGTATATCTCTTCCTCCCTCTCTCTCTCTCTCTTTTTTTTTTTTTTTGGTATGTTTTTCTTTGTGTTTTTTTTTCCTCCCTTTAATTACAAAAAATTATGTGTGAGTATATGCTATATGTGTGTGTACCTGAGGACAGAAGGTGCTGTTGGATCTCCTAGAACTGGAAATATAGGTGGTTGTGGACAGATGGATATAGGTGCCGGGAACTGAACTCAGGTCCTCTGCAAGCGCTCTTAACCTCTGAGCCTGCTCTCCATCCCTCTTCTTTTCATTTTAAGTAAGAGAAAGAAGTTTTGGCCTCTGCTGTCAGTTCTTGCTGACTGTGTTCCTCTGTGCAGCAGCCACTTTGTCCTTATGGCTGCTTCTAAGCTCAGTGGGTTTCAAAATCTTATAACCTGCTTCCAGGCGGCAAGTAAGTAAGTTCAATCCCTCCTCTCACTCCTTGGCTCACGACCGGATTCTAAGCATGAGGCCTCCAGCTAGATGAAGTTTGGGAAGTCTGTCATCCTGGCTGGTCAGGACTGTCCCGATTCTCCAGATAGTCTCTGATCCATCCCCTAGTCTGGTCCCCACATTGCAGGCTTCCTTTATCACTCAGACATAGTTGGCCACAGAGAGGTGGCAAGAGGCCCATTTGCTCAGAAAAAGCTGCCTGCCTGCTGCTCAAAGCCCACAGGGCAACGAAGCCATCCTCTCCCCACCTTTCTGTCTTTGACCCACGTGTAGAAGAGGAGGGGGCAGAAGCGGGCCTGCCAGAAGACGATAGTTATCTGGACCTGCCGCAGCAAGTTTCACCAAAAACCACCAAAAGGATCCTGATGCTCCTGTGTGACGAATCGGTAAGGCCTCCCAGCCTATGTGGCCTGGCGCCAGGAGTGTCCCGCCTGCCCTGAGAACAGGGCCTGGGGAGTGAGCTTGCAAGGCAGTGCTTACAAGAGGCAGCCAATAATGGCTGCTCCCACTGTGGCCTCTCTCCAGCAGTCTCAGGTCTAAGATATTTGCACTGTGTTGGCAACAAGGATTTGGGTGTAGAGTAAGGGCATATTGATGCTGGCTATCCCGTGGGCGTTTCTTAGATGCCAACATTCTGTGGTGGTAGAGGAGTCAAAACACAGCTGAGCCTCAGTGGCCCTGGGACAGTCAAGGCTGTTTTGTTCGGTGCCACTGAGGCCCTTCCTGCTGAGTTGGCTGGCAGGGCCTCTCTGTCGCATGCAGCTGGGCAGCAGAACCACAGCTCCTTGGGGCTTAGCGAGGCTCCTCCTTACTCGGCTCCTGTCTGTGTCACAGGCCTTGTGTTCTAATGTGGCTCACTTCTCCACACCCTGATCTCCTCTCTCCAGTGTTTGCTCCTAGGTTCTGTAGTTACTTGGGGGACTATGAGGACAGTGGGCATAGAGGCTTAGTCTCATTTAAAGTACTCTAGAGACTCAGGTATTTGCCCAGTGGCTTGTGGGTAAGGTGGAGGGCAGTGTAAATGGGAACTGACTTCATCCTTGCTTCCTGAGACTGGCTCAGACATCTCCAGAAAGCCTTCATGGAGGACCTCACCACCCAGCTCTGTGGTGCTGTCCCCGGAAAGTCACATTATGAATGGTTGCAGCCCCTATCCCGTGTTCCTGAAGCCTGGCTCTGACTGGGGATGCCATCTTTCTTTCCTTCTCAGGGTTTCCTCATAGAGAGCAAACTGCTGAGCCTGCTTCTCCCCCTGGAGAAGAACGAATGCTATCTGCTGAGGTTGGACGCCATCTTCTCTGTGAGTCCCACTGGGTGGGGAGGGTATGGGGTGGGGGTCAGAACCTGTTCTCCTGACGTTTCCTCAACCCTGAGACTACACCAGAGCATCTCAGACCTTCCTGGGCTGACTCTCACTGCCTTCCTTCAAGCTTCAGATTGGCTTTGGTGTCACGCTGTGGGTGGAGCCTTCCTGACTCTGGCCTTTGTTCCATCATTCTGTTGTTTCAGTTCATTGCATCCTCCTGGCTCTTGACCTAGACCCTTTATTCAGGCTCTAGGGAGGCTGAGGGGATCTCCAGGGATGTTTTGGAATCTCTGGTTCAGAGTTGCTGAGTCTATGAATTGGAGTTTTAGGGCCTGTTTGAGGAGGCATCTGAGTGGCCATCTTGTTTTCTCCTCAGGCTCTGGGAATTGAAAGTGAAGATGACTTGTACAAGTTGGTGAACTTCTTCATTCGATATCGAATCCATCATTTATCCTCTTCCCAGGTGAGACGGGCAGCTGGGGAGAGCGGTTCATTTTGTTTCATTTCTTCGGAAGTTTTCCTTCCCAGTGGGGTCCCGCCTATCTTTTCACTCTGCCCTTGTCTAGACATGTGCCCTGTGTTCTGATGTGGCACATCCTTCCTCCATGTTTTCTTCTGTAGCTATTTGGGAAATATGGTGACGTGAGCATTGACACTAGGTCTTGGGAGAGTTGGAGGGTATCTCTGCCAGGAATGGCCAATAGCATTGGCCTAGATTTTTTTTTTTTTTTTACAAAGGGCAAAATGGCTGGAGGAGGGATGGGATGTTGTTCTATATTTAGGCCCAAGGGCTCTTTTCCTAGTCTTTCTTCAAAGCTAGGTGTTGTAGTAAATAAAAATGAGTGTTGGACCACATAATGTTTATTATAAGCCCTATCATTGTTGCAGCGGTATTATTTGACCAACTATCACAACTAATAAGACACAGACACCTGTTAGATTTACAATTGTCTTATTTACCTTGGGCTGGGCAGATATTTCTACCTACACTGTCTCAATAACCCCACTGTTCACTCCCAACCCCCATCCAGTGCCATCGTATTAACCATCCTCATCTGGGCCACCTTCCATCCATAACCCCAAGATACTTGCTTATATTTCATCTGGGCCTTTCCACGCCATTATTGGAGTTTTTCCTCTCAGCCCTCGTGGTTCCATCTCCAGGCTAGCCCATCGTGGTGTCCCCCTCCTCCTTTCTTCCCATCTGTCTGTTTCCCATGATTCTCCTGTCCTCTTAGCCACGCCTCCCCCATTCTGCCCTGCCAAGGTGTAGGCCATTTAATCAACCAACCAGGTATGTTTTAGGCAGGTTTACACAGCAAGAATAGGTATATTCGGGGAGTAACCAGATCTTGAGGGCCAGAAACTAGGATCAGACCAGCCCCCAATAGCCAGGTTTTAACTACTATGAAATCTGAATAAACCACGTTCTACAGATTTTGTTCCATCACGCTCTCCTATGAAGCAGGGCTCATTTGTAATGCCGTGAATACTATGTTGTCAATAATTTCAGTTTGAGATGCAAACAGCAGCTCTTCTGGAAAGTCCTATTAAAAGTTACAAGATTTTCATTTAAAAATAAAAAGTGTTGTTAATATCGTTAACCCCAGGGTGAATTTTCTGACATTCTTTAGAGAGTGGCCAAGGGCTTGGGTGGGGTGGGGGTGTGGCTTAGTTGAAAGGTACTTGGCTGGCACGCATGATGCCCTGGATTTAATTTACAGCACCACATATCGCAGTTAAAGACTAGTTTTTTTTTTTTTGTTTGTTTGTTTTTTAACATGTAAAGGGCCGATATAAGCCAATAAGGAAAAAAGACCACCCGTGGAAAGAAAAAAGTGAGACAATCTCACCGTACAGCTCAGGCTGTCCTCAAACTCTTACAGGCTTCCTCCCTCACCATCCTAAGTCTCGGATTCAAAATGTGCATCACCATATTTGGACTAGGGCAGGCAACTTTTTTGTTTTGTTTTGTTTTTGAGACAGGGTTTCTCTGTATAGCCTTGGCTGTCCTGGACTCGCTCTGTAGACCAGGCTGGCCTCGAACCCACAGAGATCTGCCTGCCTCTGCCTCCCAGCATGCTCGGATCACAGGTGAGCGATTCATGCCTGGCTGACCTTGAACTTCTAATTCTCCGACCTTTACCTTCCCAAATGGTTGTCTTAAGGCATACTCCTGGATACTCTGCTTAATGGAGTTGAAACTATATGTTTATCATAGTTTTTTAATTGCAGCATTATTTGAAATAGAAGACTGGAAACTGCAATTTTCCATGTTTAAGTATTGTATTTAATAATTCATGGTATATTCCCATAATGCTGTGAATAATTTCAATATGAGATGCAAAGAGTAAGTATTCTGGAGAGTCATATTAAAAGTTACAAGATTTCAATTTAAAAATCAAAAATAAAAAGTGTTGTTAATATTGTTAACCCCAGGGTGAGTTGCCTTTAGAAAGAGAGTAAACAGGAAGAAGACTACTTAAATTGAAAAATTATACCAGGATTAGTTCTCTGTTCTGTATGAGCAGAAGGGGTGTTTATAGCGTTGGAGCCCGAGATGATCGCTGCAGCGAGCACCTGTGAACTAGGCCATTCTACTGCTAGGTGTTGCTAGGGTTTCTATTGCTGCAATGAAACATCAGGATCCAAAAGCAGGTTGGGGACAAAAGGGTTTCTTGGGCTTACACTTCCGTACTGTAGTGCATCACTGAAGGAAGTCAGGACTCAAACAGGGCAAGACCTTGGAGGCAGGAGCTGATGCAGAGGCCATGGAGAGGTGTTGCTTACTGGCTTGCTCCCCAAGCCTCATCAGCTGCTTTCTAATAAAACCCAGGCCCACCAGCCCAGGGATGGCCCCACCCGCAACAGCCTGGGCCCTCCCCCACCCCCACTGAGCACAAATTGAGAAAATGCCCTATAGCTGGATCTCATGGAAGTATTTCCTCAACTGAGGCTCGTTCCCTTCTCTCTGATGACCGTAGCTTGTGTCGAGTTGATACAAAACCAGCCAGTACAGTATCTGCCTACAAGTTTTCTGGAGACTTTGCTCTGATCCCTTCTCCTGCTGTTTCTTGTGTCATGTTTGGGTGTCCAGCCCACAGTCAACTCTGCACTTCTCTCCAGTACAGCACCATGTCATCATCATCAGCTCAACACGTCAACACGGAAAACACAAGCCTGATGTCAGAGCTGGAGCAAATGAGCTTGCCCCAGTTGAACAAGAGGAGCTTCGTGTCCAAATCAGAGTCGGAGTCCTTAGAACGGGAGACCCTGCAGGGAAGTGATGACCAGAGCCTTGTGATCAAGGAAAAGGAGTTCCTATTTTCATCCAGGTTCATCCACCCCAATGACGTCCTCAAGATTCTGGAGGCCTTTGTCATGGGGCTGAAGAAGCCCACGTACGCAGTGGTACAGTGGTGATGGAGGGCTTGCCTGAGATATGGGGCCTGGGAGCTGGGAGTGAATGGAGAAGGGGCTGCACACACACACACAGAGAAAGAAACACACATACATTCATGCGAGTGTGTGCATGTACACACACAAACATACACACAAACACACATGCACACACACACATGCATACATACAGATACACACATACACACAAACAAACACACACATAGACACACACACAAATGTGACTGGCATTGCCTGGGGGACTAAGGTGGCAGGTGGAAACAGGCACCATTGCTTTTGACTTCCAGGGATTTCCGGCCAGTACTAAAAATGAAGAAAGATACTCGAGATAACTCAAAGGACACGGAGTATTGGGAATGCCTGGCCATGGCTATCCCTTTCTCCAAGCAGAACCTCTGGGACGCGCTGTACAAGGCCTTGGAGAAATACCAGTCAGCATCAAGGCTTGGAAGAACAGGGAGCTGGGTGGTCTCTAGGGACAATCCTTTCCAGAGCCATAGTGTGTCTCCTGTGCTCACACGTTCTGAGGGAGTGGGTGGGACAGTGGTGGGCAGTGGTCCCACCCTCCTTGCCCATCCCTGATTGTCTGGGAAATGTCCCAGGTCCTCCTCTACTTGCAGCCAGAGTAGAAACACCAAGGGCCTGTCTTCTACAGTAGAGGATGGAGAACTGAGCTGGTACCCCTCTAACCTGCTTCCTGTGTTCTCCCCCAGCTTTGTGCTCACCCAGAGGGCCAAGCTGCTGATGGAGACTGAGTCCCTGGAGCAGCAGAACGCAGAGATGCAGTCCCTCCTGCAGCAGTACCTCCAGGCCAAGGTGGGTGCTGGGGTGTGGAGCCCTGCAGTCCTGTCCGGGCCGGAAGGACTGTGACTCTGTTCCATTGGTGCCATGGCTTTGGTATCACTCTGTTGTGATCACTCTTGGTTTTCAATTTTGTTTTAGTTTCTTGTTATGAAGTGTCAGATGGCCCAGGCTGGCCTCAAACTCCATATGTAGCCAAGGGTGACCCTGGACTTTTGATAATCCTGCTTTCACCTGGGACAGTTGGGGTTACAGGCATGAGCCATCGAGCCCCATGTGTGTGGTGCTGGGAATCAAACCTAGGGCTCTTGTCATGTTAGGCGGCCGCTCTGCAAACTGTGTCTCCTTCTTTCCACCTCACGAGAGGCCTGCACTTTGTAGTTCAAGCTTGCCTTGAACTCAGGGCAATTCTTCTGTCATAGTTCCCAAGTCCTGGAATGACAAGCATGAGCTACAATATCCAGCTGTAAAATCTTTCTATCTTTTTTTTACATGTGTGTGTGTGTAACACACACACACACACACACACACACACACACACACACACTAGCCCTCATGTGGAGGTCAGAGGACAGCTTTTGGGAAATGGTTTTCTCCTTCCACCATGTGAGTCCTGGAGCCAGGACTAGGATATCAGCTGAGCAACCTCACTGGCTCAGAATCACTATTTATTTTTTTAAAAATATTTTTAACAAAAGATGTATTTATTTCACGTATATGAGTGCTCTATCTGCATGCCTGATATCAGGGCATCAGATCCCAGTATAGATGGTTGTGAGCCACCATGTGATTGCTGGAAATTGAACTCAGGACCTCTGGAGGAGCAGACAGCGCGCTTAATCACTGAGCCCTCTCGCCAGCCCCATTCTTTCTTTCTTTTATTATTATTTTTAAATGAGACAGCATCTCTATACATGTCCCTGGCTGTCCTGGAACTCACTAAGTAGGCCAGGCTAGCCTCAAACTCACAGAGATCCACCTGCCTCCACCTCTCCAGTGTTGGGATCCAAGGTGTGCTCTACCACACCCGGGCAGAATTATTCTTTTTTAAAAACGGTAGCAAGCCCAGAAGCATGGTCCAGGTTCCAGGCCCCATCCTGCCTTGTATCTTCTGCAGTCCTAGCAGCCTGCCAGGGAGCCAGGCAGAAACTCCCCTCCCCAGTTCACAAGCAAGCTTGGAGGTTTGGGAAGCCTCCCAGGGCACTGACCTTCTCCCCTCTGCCAGACCACCTTTCCTAGGAAATGACTGAGGCTTCCCATAGGAAGGGAGCAAGATTCTGTGCTGTCAGAGGTGACCCCTCCTGTGATAACTGTAACTCGTTCCCATGGACTGGCCAGAAGAGGGAGGAAAAGGCCTTGTGACTTGGTTGCACACTCTGTGGCCATGGTGGATGTTTCAGGGTGGTGCTGAGTCTTGGGCCAAGAGGATCACGACAGTCTACAGTCCCTTGTCCAACTACAAAGGGTATAGGGCTTCAGCCTGAGCTCAGGTCCCAGGCCATAGCTGGAAGGTAGATGAGGTAAATCTCGGTATCATGATGGCTTTTTGGCCTGTAAAAGAACTCAGACATCTGAGGACATACTGATTCTGTGTCCACAGATGTGTCTGTGTACTAGGATGGAGATGAGAGCTAAGGGCAAGCCTAAACTCAGACAGTGATAGAGATAGGAGGGGAGGATGAATACTACCGGAAGTCATTCACTGATGCCAGACAGGAAACTCCGGCAACCTCCAGGCCCTGAGTCCTCTCTGCTTTGGAGAAGCAATGCTTGCAGGGAGGGATTGGGACTCTGGGAGAACCAGCATCTGCCCGTGAGCCCTCGCAGAAGGCAAGAAAATGACCTTTACCTTTAATTTCCAGGTAAATACTGAGCTGCAGGTTCCTCCAACTCAGAGCTTCCGGATGCCCACAAAATAGAGACTATCTGCAAAGCCTGGCGTTACAGGGCCTGCACTGACCCCCGAGAGCCTGGGACCACCCATTTTTTTTTCTCCTCAGCTATATCTATCTGCCAAAATAAGGCAGCGATGGTTCCCGAAGTTCTAATAAAGGTTTTGAAAGCTGAGGCTGAATGCTTTTAAGGAGGCCTAGTCCACATGGACAGGAGTCCCCTGCCCTGAGTAGCATTAGGGAGCTTTGTCGCTGGGCTCAGATTGCTGATGAGAGTAGCACCAGGCTTTATCCCTGCCCTTGGGAAAATGTTGGTCTCTATAGGAGGAGGCTGAGTCTTCACATTATCCCCAAACTGAAGGATGTCTTCTGTACTTTGGGGCCTCTGTGTCTACCATGGTGTGCCCTCTGGGGTGTAGAGGTAGGCTGTTCCTTCGGCAGCCTGGGCTGACAGCCCAGTGCCTGAGGCCAGCCTTCCATGGTGCTCCACAAGAGGTTCCGCACAAGGTTTGCCACCCCCTCACAAACCCATCCCTCCCAGGCTCCACTTCTGTTTCAGGGTCTGATTTATTTTATTAAGAGAGAGAGAAAAAAATCACACTCAAGAAAGGAAAATCATCCAGCAGATTCACAGAGGAAGAATGGCGGCACTCTGTGGTGCAGCCTCCCGGGGGCGGCTGCCGGCTAGCAGGGCAGGCCTGCTTTCAGGGTGGCTGGGATACCAGGTTCACTCTTGGAGCCTCCAGACTAGCTAGCTGGCACACACCGGCCTGGGCCGAGGAAGGCCTGGGAAGTGATGGGAAGCCTCGGGCTAAGCCGCCAAGTGGCTGCTGGGGGAGAAAGGAGGAGCCAAGAGCAAAGCATGCACAGAGCTGCTGTTTAGGCTCCTTGATTGAGCGGTGTGTTGCCTCTGTTGGCATTTCTGGTGCTTTCCACCTGTGCCTGCTTATCAAAGCCTTGGAAACTGGCCCATGTTCCTTGGTTAATTTCACTGGAACCTTAACTCAAGATTTGGAAAGCCCAAGGGAAGGTTGGGCCACTGCCACTCTTAGATCTGGGCAGAGGAGCATGGTACCTTAGAAAGTAGGGCAAAAGGGAATCTGGTGTTGGACGCCACTGATTCTGAGTGCGCCCCAAACCCTAGGCAGGACTGGGACAAAATCAGGCAAGCAGCGGTTTGGGTGTGGGGTGGGGATGGCACCCCAGCAAGCAGGTGCCTTGCTCAAGGCTAGCAGAGGTGTGGTATGGCTCCTCAGGGAGTTGGGAGAGAGTTCAGGTGAGGGTAGGCAAGTGCAGCAAGCCCCTGGAGGGACGATGGGGTGGGGCAGGGCCGGTGGGGTTGCTTCATGCCCCTAGGATCTTCTTGACCATGTAGCCGGGGAGGCTGTAGAGGAAGAGCGCCAGCATGAGCAGCCCAAGCAGCGCCAGCACAATCTTGATGATAAGCCACTTGTACCGGGTGCAGATGAGGTACTTGATAGATTTGAGTGGGTTCAGGAACCAGACGAAGGCTGTGTCAGGCCGGCTAGAGTGGGGAGAAGATGGGAGGGGCCTGTCAAACAGCCTGCAATGAGCCACCCACACAGGGCACCCATCTCTGTCCTTCCATGGTGAGTGCTAGCTTCTAAACCCTGTCTTCTCTGTGTGACCTCTGTTGCCCAAGCCCCGCCCTGAGATGGCAGTTTTGCCTCATCCTGATTGCTTGGAATGATGAACTGAAGCAGAGGCCTTGACATTGGAGGCTGGACATGTTGTTCTTGAGATCTTGTACCTAGCACTTCATTATGCAAGCTCTGTCTCCCTTTGTTCTCAGGAAAGCAGAGTTTCTCAACTTCCCTCCTTCCTTCCTTCCCTCCTTCCTTCCTTCCCTCCTTCCTTCCTTCCTTCCTTCCTTCCTTCCTTCCTTCCTTCCTTCCTTCCTCCCTCCCTCCCTCCCTCCTTCTTTCCTTCCTTCCTTCTTTCCTTCCCTCCCTCCCTCCCACCTCCCTCCTTCTCTCCCTTCCTTCCTTTTTTGAAACAGGGTCTCAATTAGCCCAGGCTGGCCTTTTACCATGTAGCCAAGGATGACTTTTGGCCTCTGGCCTGTCTCTACCCCCTAAGCGTTGGTCTCACAGGTCTGCATCAGCACCCATGGTTTATATGGCACTGGGCGTTGAACCCAAGGTTTCGTACATGCTGGGAAAACATCCCACCCACTGAGCTACATCCCCTAGCCCTCAAACTCCCCTTTTGCTAAGCCCACAGGTCTGTCTGCAGCAAACACCCGAGCCGCCTAAGCACTGTGCCCCACCCTCCCTAACTTGCCTGCCATCAGGGTGCTAGCCTGCCTGCCTTCTGCCGAGTTCCTTGCTAAGGACCCCTTGTCAGCTTCCACTGTCTGCAATTTGTGTCACAAGATGAGCAGGCTCCATAGAATGTCCCATTATAAAAATTAAAGTGTTGTCATGCTCCGGTGTGTGTGCATGTGCATGCTAGTGGACACACCTGTGCACATACATGGAGGCAGAGGAGGACATAGGGGGTCCTGCTGTATCATTCTCCTTAAGTTAGGTCTCTCACCTGGAGCTAGTCTGGCAGCCAGGAAACCCCAGAAATCCTCCTGTGTTTGCCTCCAACAGTGCTGGGGTTATAGGCCCAGTGTAGCTATGCCTTAGACCTTTTTTTTTTTTTTCCTGTGAATACTAGGGATTTGAACTCAGGTCCTCCTGCTTTTGTTGTAAGCACTCCTAACTACTGAGCTGTCTCCCCAGCTTCTGGATATACTTTTTCAACAGCTACCCCGTCATCTCTCAGAGGCCATGGGCCATACCCCCATTGTAAGTGGGGCAACAGGGCAGGGATGTGGGTCCCGGATGCCTAAATTTCTATCACTAGCTATTGTGGGCAGGTTAGACTCCTTTGAGCCTCAGTTTCTTCATGCGTATGATGGTTTAATAGGAATTCCTACTTCCTGGACTTAGGGAACCATGGAAGTGAGAATGTGCTGGTGACTCTCAGAGCCTGCAGGGACATGGTCCTCGGCTTATGTCAGCTGGAATGTTTTCCCTGGTGGGACAACTGTCCCCTGAGGGTAGGACCCAGCTGTGTCCAGAGAGGCCTCTCACACTGAACTGGCTAACCCTAGCCAAACCCTGCCCCTGTTCGGCCCTGCCGGGGTCTCAGCTTCCTCCTGCCCATGGAACTGGAGTAGGCCCCGAGAAGAAGGCTGCTGTAGTTGGTGGACACTGGCCTGGCAGTTGGCCCATAAGTTGGAGACCCAGGGCCACCTAGCCAGGTGGCCTTGAACAAGCTATGTCACCTTTCTGGTCCAATAACATAAAAAAATCAAATAGCCATGTCTGGTTCCGAGAGCGTGATTAGCTTTGTGGAGGTTTGAAAGTTGCAGGGCATATGTGGACGTACATATGTGCTTGTGTTCCTCTGTGTACTCTTATGTGCGTGTGTGCGTTTATGTATGTATGTGTGCTGTGTACACATGTGAACTTGTTTGTGGGGTTTGAGTGTGTTTTGAGTGCATCCCACATGCTGACCAGCCCTTGTCCAGGGGCAAGGAAGAAGTACCAGGCCTAGGAGGCTGCGGGGCTCAGGCCCCGAGGATCTTCTTGGCCAGGTAGCCAGGCAGAGAGTAGAGAAACAAGGCGAGCAGCAGCAGCAGCAGGAGGAGCAGCAGGAGTTTGAGGAGCAGCCAGCGGTACGTATGCCACAGGAAGTAGCGGGCAGACTTGAGAGGGTTCAAGAACCAGATGAAGCTGGTGTCGGGCCGACTGGAGCATCAGGAAAGGACAGATGGACACAGGGAAAGGACAGGACGGTGGGAATGTGCTTGGCGAGAGGCTTCCGCTGATGGGGAAGCCTGCACCAAGCAGAAGAGTTTTGGGCACCTGCGGGGCCACCAAGCTGGGCCACCAAGCCTGGCCACCTTTGGGGTGGTTGCCCTTGTCAAAAACTAGGGACTTGGGTGTGGGGTCAAGCTTCCTGGGGAAGGAACAGCTATCTTTGCAGACTGCCCTTCCTTTGGTTCAGAGGGAAGAGGTAGGCTTTAGGGTTGAAGAAAAGGGCTCCCCCTGTGATGTGGCTGTGGCCCAGGAGGGGATAAAGTAGGTGTCTGAGGAGTAGGGGCAAGAAGACCAGAAGGAGCTGGGCCCTCTTCTCTTTTCTGCACCCATGATGTAGTGTGTGTGGGGGGGTGTCAAGGCAGCCAGCACTCACTTGGGTTTTTCTAGGGGGTCAGGTTCGTTGCGGGCCAGGCCCACCGGATTTTTCTCTGCCTCCTCTGCTGTTAGTAAATGTAGCTCCGCCTCCACTTTGCCCTGATGGGAAGGAGAGTTCCAGTGTCTAGGCCACCAGGCTGGGTATCCCAGCCTGGCCTAGCCTTGCCCATGCAGGTCCCCTCCGGAGCAGGAAGCAGTACCCACCGTGAGCTCAAACTCATCATTCTCATTGCGGGCCAGGAGGGGCCACCAGCCTTTGACGCGCTTCTGTTTAAAGATGGAGACCAGGGGCACATCCACCTCCCCGGTGGCCATCTCCATGGTGCACTGCTTGGCTGTCTTAGCGCCCCTCGGGAACCGGTTCAGGTCCAGCTCGATGGCCCCTGCAGCCAATGGTGGAGTCAGTTTCGAGGCCGGGGCGGGGGCTGCCCCACCTCCTTCCTTTCCACTCCCACTCAGTTTTGCTTGAGCCCTTTCTTAGCTTAGTGTCTCTAGGCATCTGCCACCTTCATCCTGGCTGTTGTGTGCCTACGGACAACACCGTACCAAACCCTACCAAGCCCAGGCTTGCAGATAGAGTTTGGCGCAATCTGAGACTCAGGGAAATCTGCCTCCTTATGGCCCCAGCTGGCTTCCCCTCAGTGTTTATCCTGACTGGCTGGTAGTGTGCCCAATGCGCCTTGTGGCTCCAGTTATGACTCTGAGAAGTGACTGGATTTTTGGAGAGGCACAATCCACATTTGGTATCTCTGGCTCTGAAGACGAGAAGGAACCCCGTGGACTCAGCCTGGCCACCCCTGCCCCTCAGTTCTGGTCCCTAGGCCTCCCTCTGCTCTGCACCTAGGAAATCATCAGCGGAGAAGTGGTCAGCATCCCAGATCTGTAGGGTGAGCCTCGCAGGGATCTTGTACTCCGTCTCATCCCAGGAGAACATGGATTCCTTCTTAGACATGACGATCTTCTCT